CAATTATTTTAGATTAATGTTAAAGCCTCTCTCCACCGTAACCCTTCAATATCCCAGTATTTTCTTCATATTTCCACAGCCACTTGATCCGGGCATGCGAAATTGTTCGTTTTGCTTGGGCATAATGGTAATCCTATGGTAATTGGTGGAGTGAAACGAATTGCATTTCGAGTTGCACGACTCGTGGGGCATGAAGTGGCATGGCGAATGCTCTGGCCGCCACGCCCACTTTCGGTAAGGGTGTCAACGGCAGTTGATGATAAATCACAAACACTCCAACACTCTTTTAGAGCCGAAGAAAAACATTTAAATCTCAAGGCTTGTTTCTCGTCGTTCGAGTTATTTGGATTCCAAATGTTGTCATACCCATTCCATCGTCCAGAAATCTCGAGATCTTGAGATTGAGGTGGCAAGTTCTGCTGGGGTATCTCTGCTCACATGTTGATACAATGTGTTGGGTGGCTTTTCTCATCAAGGGGGATCCCCTTGGGAAGACACAATTATAATTATGTCGGGAGGTAATTCTTTCCCCCTCCCTTTTTGGCTACCGTTGGGTAACTGCAAATAGTGCGACTGGTTTTGGTTTTTTTTCCTGTTGGTTTCTTTCTGCTCTGCACCGGAAATGTGACCCAAAGGGGAGCAACACATCTGGAACTTGACTTCCAGTCGCCGTATAATTAACTGCATTGTCTGAAAACAGCTTCATTAGCTTTAGGTTTTTTCTTTTGCAACTGGAAAATATTGAATATTAAAAAATACAAATCGGGCTTTTAGGCGGGTTATGTTAATGTCATGTTTCACTTTTCATTTGTTTGTGCTTTGCTTTTCACTCCCCAATAAAAAACAGAAAAACTCTCTGCAATTCAACGAAATCAAGCTGCAGCGGCTGAAATCAAAGCAAACGCATTAGGTCAAGCTCGTCCAGAAGTAAACAACATTTCTTTTTTGTCGAGGCGTCAAAGCTAAAGCCCACAAAAGATAGAAGATATAAGTCGAATAAACATTGCGGCTCTGGATTGTGGGTTTGCTTAGATGAGCGTTCTCTTTTTTGTGGATGCGACAACAAATGAATTGTTTATTACCTCTGCGCATGCAACATTGGCAATTGGAGTTCGGAGTTCCATGAGTTATGCGCTGACGTTTCCGCAGAATTTTCCCGGTTGCCATCACCACACCACCACTCCCTTTAATCATTGGCTGAATGGTTCATTAGAGGCATGCAAAATGTGCGGGGGAAAATGGGGAAAAATAAAAGCAAGAAAGAGCTCCAACATTGGAGTTCCTCGACACGTTCTGAGTTCACTAAACTCGGCGATCACTTTTCGCCCTCTTCTCTCTCCTCTGTAAACATTTTTGTTTTAGCAATTGACAATGCGAGGCGAGGGTTAACATTTGTTATTGTTAAAGCCCAGACATTTTGGCTGCCTCTGCAGAACGATAAAAAAATTCGAGTGGAAAGAGCAAAAATAAACGAAAAAACCCCACATACATTGTTTTTTATTCTCTTTTTGCAACTTAAGTGGCGGCCAATTAAAAGTCTAACGCGACTTTGTATGTGACATAATAGCTCTGTGGTCTTGTAAAAATACTCCTGGGGTGTCAACTTCTATCTTACACACATGTTGTGTTTGACCTATATAACATTTCTTCCTGCACCGAAAGTCAACCATGTGTTTTGATTTTTCCTTAGTGATATTCGGTAATTAATGCTGAAAGTGTCAGGAGACTTCCTTAAACCAAAAAACTAGGTCAACTTCGTAAAAGGAAATGCAAAAAAGCGCTGCCAACAGATCCCTGACATATGGCGAGCATTACAAAAAATGACTCAACCCAGTTTCGGACCCTCTTGAAAGTAAAGCGTGAAAAGGGATTCCACACACACTCTTCACTGGGCTATCGCTGTTCGGTCATCATTTTGTCTGGGGAACCTGAAAGCTGAAAGAAATTCACTTGTAAGCATGACCAGAAGTTGTTTACATAACCCACATACCGCGTACCCCTTTTGGGGGAAATGGGTTATCATTAAATATGACACACAGACGAACAGGCGAACGTATCCAATTGAATTGCACTGGATTGGAGATGTGAAGCGGGGGGTTTGGTAGTCCCTTTCCCCTATAAACTATACCAACATGCACAATTAACGAAAAAAAGAAACGTTTGTTATTTGTTATTTGGCTGCCTGTGATTTCGATGAAACCGATAAGATACCAGGCCCAAAGGCATTATGTTTGGGCCCTTGATAGACGAAGAAAGTCACACAGTCGCAGTAGTTTGATGACGTAAATGCGACAATTTCTTTCCAATTAAATGTCAGCGTCGCGATAAGAATTTATGTATCGCTTTTTGGGTCTTTCGCAATGTAACTTATGTTGTACTAGTTTGGGATTTGTTACCATTTATCGAATAATATCAAATCCCTTGGGTCTTATAAAATGTATAGTTTTTGTAACTTCCGGGGCAACTGGCAAATTTTGGTTCCTTGGCAACGCAACTTTAATTTTGTAAGCTGACATCTGGAATTCATCACCCTTTTCAAACTAATTGATTTTTGATAAACTTAAAATTTTTAGTAGTTTCATTGGAGAAAATCTACATCCTGCCATAAAATAAAACATTAAAAAATCCATTGGGATCTGTAATTCTTCTTAATAGTTTTCAAATCTTTGTAGTGTTTTCCTCGCTAGCATAAAACAATGAATAAATCGAATTGACTTGATAAAAAATAGTACCCCAATCTACAGCATAACACTGTGCAACATTTTTAGGGTTATAAAATGTAACCGCAATTCTAATTTCATTGGCGGAAAGAACTCATCGAAATAAGCTAAAACCCATTTGGGTTTCTCTGGCTTAGCTCGCGTTTACCTATTATAGCGAGTTAAAGTTTTACATACAAAATTTATTTGTAACGGCCATATCTTGTGAACCGATTAAAATTTTACTATCAAGTCTTCAGTGATTATATAGCTATGAACCCAAGGAACTAAATTGACAAATGACTCTAGCGAAGACGTACACCTAGCGCGTTAAAAATCGAAAAATTAGGCAAATTTGTTTTTTAACGCGCTAGGTGCACTAGGTGCTAAGTGCGCAAGAGTCATTTGTCAATTTAGTTCCTTGGGTTCATAGCTACATAATCACTGAAGACTTGATAGTGAAATTTTAAACGGTTCAGAAGATATGGCCGTTACGAATAAATTTTGTATGTAAAACTTTAACTCGCTATAAAAGGTAAACGCGAGCTAAGCCAGAGAAACCCAAATGGGTTTTAGCTTATTTCGATGAGTTCTTTCCGCCCATGAAATCAGAATTGCGGTTACATTTTTCATGTTGCACTGTGTAATTGTACCTTTTAATCGCTTCAACAAAGAAAACACTACACGTATGTTCTTCGATTTAGCCCAATCACTTCCCCAAGTTCAAAGTCGAGTAATCAAATTTTTGTTATTGCTGCTATTGAACTCTGGTTAGCGTCTCACATGTGTACGAAAGTATTTCTGATGTTTTGGCATTTAACGCATGATTGAGTCATTAAGATATGGAGTAGTACCCCCTCCGTAATTCGAGACCCCAGAACCAAAGTAATGTCGAGTAAAACGATCTGGTGTGTGTGTGCGAAATGCAAACAGTTGCCACATTTAAGTTTTACGAGTTAGGTTCATTCTCATTTTCGATTTCGTTTAACAACGCAGCTAAAAGCAAAGCCAAAGCAACCCAAGCCAAAACCAGAACCAGTATAATAAAACTAACCGAGGGATGGGAAAAGGGTCTGGGGTTCCGGGGGCTCTCAGAGGTGTTGGCTGGGCATTCGGTTTCGTTTGAGTGATCAACTGATTCGATGATTCATTTGGCGGTTTTTGGCTTGGACGTCGGCATTATGAACGCACCACACTTTGATGTCCAAGACCAGAAAGTGCTAAGAAAAATATTATAAATGGGGTTTGTTCGACGAAATTGGCACTTTCCGGGATATTGCGATTTTTCGGATGATATAATGAATTTTAATATTATTGGGGTGTTAGAAAGATTTTAATTAATTTCAGCTGACATTTTAGCAATGAAATCAAATGAATATCAGAAGAGCAACATTTATCTATGCAGATTTCGACTAAGTACTATCCTAAGCAAACAATTCCTTATTTTACTACACATTTATCACTAGTGATTTACAATGCGGATATTTATCGAATCATTTCTGTGGCCACCTGGAGGGTATCAAAACATACAGACAACTCGGAAGCATAACTGACTGCCATTGTTCTCGTCTTGTTATTCTTGTTAGTTCTATAAATGTGCAAAATTCATTTGGGAATTAAAATTTCCTTATGGCTAATTATAGAGGCGGCGATCTGCCGATCTGCCAAAGTTGAATAACACCGAGGTGCTGACACACACTCACAGAATTGCAATGGGCAGGCTGCAAATGTGCGTTTGTTTTCAGTTTTAAGTTTTCAGTTTGTGTGTATTTTTAGCGATATTTCAAACATTTGGCGCCGGCAATCGGCAAATCGCCTCTGTGTAATTTACACTCACGCATCGCTGGTAAACAACAAAGCGAAAAAGAAAATCAAATAGGAAAATTCAGTGGGGGGAGGAGGAGGTCTAATGAAAAATAGGACCAGTCCCCTGCAGCGACACGTGCCACTGAACGCATTCTCATTTCCCAATACCAATACCCAATCCCATTTCCCCTTGGATTTTCCCCCTCATCCGCAATGGCGTCAATTTGATTAAATGCCGTTTAATTAAATTGCCAGCAATTCGATTTCACCCGCACATATGTACCACGTATTTACTTTTGCTTTTAATTTCCTACCCCGCATTTTCATGTTCTTGTTTTTTCGAAATCATTTCGCATTCACATTGGACACGCTCATCACACGCTAATAATAATATTGTATGATTAACAAACCATTTCACCTTGCTTTCAAATTCATTTGGCTTGAAATTCAGCTTGCTCTCTGTTTTTTCTTCTACTCCTTCTCGTCTGAACGCAGCCATCATATCCTATACCAATCCCAAACTGCAAATACCATTAATGGCATCTGCAATCTATGCGCCCACCACCACATCAACATCACCGACAGCCGGCACTCCGACTTCAGCCACCGCAGCCACATCCCAAAATGCATCTGCTTCATTATCATCACCAGCAGGTCCTTCTTCGTCGCCAGGATCTGCCCCCGCGGGCGCAGGGGGAGGTCCTCTCCAAGGATTCGTTGCCAAATTGCGTAATTTTAAATTCCAGGACACGAAAAATATAAGAAAACGTTTCCATTTCGATTACATTTCAAAGGACAGATTTTTGGGTATGTTTCAAAATTTATAACGACTTTTTAGTATTTGTTAGCTAAATTTGTGATTTATTATGTTCTTAACTATTCAAATTTAAAACAAAAAATATTTTTTTTAAATCAGTGAATTCTTTAAAAAAATCGATTAGTTTTTATACAAATTGAATTCAAGAAAAGTCTTTGTTGAACTTCAATCTGAGATCTTATATCATTTAATTGCTATTAGTCCCCAACATTAAAAGAACTTTGTGTACTTTGATCGCTCCAGATGATCCCGAAATTTAATCAAGACGAATTAGCATTTTCATTAACCATATTCGTTAGGTTTTACGGGTTCGGCATTCCCACATTAAAGTCGAACTGGCCCAAATTCCGCCCGTGGGCGTTCCTCATGTTGATGGCGCCTCACGCTTGCGCCCACACAATTTCACTTCATTCAACAAAAAAAAACTTAATTTGAATGTTTTATTGTCGCTTGACGCTACTTAAACTTCGGCTTATGAATATTAAATGGGTAATCGGGATGGGAATTATTTTGGGATGGAGCTGTTAGTTCCCCGCTGCTAATGAAGCAAGTCACACACTATATATACACCCTCTATAGCGGAAATTGAGGTTCATCATGTGTTCATCAAATTGAGATTTTTTCCACCTCCCACTCGATTCAGCAGAGCCAAACAAACAATAAATACAAAAAACCGGGGAAATGTGAAAAGCTTTCAGGGCGGTGCTATCACTGAGTTATAGTTCTTGACAACTGATTTATCAGTCGAACACGAGATTCGTGTGCCCCATCTAATCATCTCGCAGCTGCAGGTGGTGCAGTTTAGTTTTCTTTATTTTCGGCTGCACCACATAAATACCATCGCACCAACGTGGTCGAAGATCAAAGCGGGAGGATGCCGTGCGGTAATGGAGAGCATTTCTTGGAGCAGATGTTGGCCCGGTGGCCCCTTGAGATGAACTGCAGATACATTGCAACAGGTGGAAATGAGGTGGAAAAGGTGGAAAATCGGAAAGTGTGCGTTAGAAAGTTACCGCAACCTTTCCACGAAACATGGTTGGCCTCTTAGTGAAATTTAATTAAAACCAGATAGCGATGGTTCACTGACATACCGATGCCTTTCCTATAAAAGTGCCATGCGCACACATCATAAAAAAGTTTTGAGGCCTCCTCCTTCTCCTTTCGGTGAAGGCCAGCGAGAAATGGTAATCGGGTAATTGAAAATTCCCAGCACGTGCTTCTATTTCTGCTCCCGTTCGTTGACAGGGGAAAACAGTGAGTGCAGAAAGTAAGCACACTCTACATATGTGTATCAGCTGATAAGGTCTTGAAAAGCTCTATTTTATCTACTTCCGCAGTGCTGCGTGAGTGTGCGAATTTCTGCTTATCACGATCACGGTTCTTTGCTTATCTGGTGATCAAGTACTCTGTTTTTAGCACGAGGTTTTCAGATAAGAATACCAGGAAAAATTCATGTTTGCTTCGAATAAAATTATGCAATTCTTACTTATCTTGTTTTTATATGTTAAACTGCATTTGAAATCTTTTATATGTGATTTTGATGAAAAAGGTTGAGTTTTATAATATTTATTTAGCTGCCTATCAACTTTTATTACCCACTGTTATCATGCGTTTTGGCCCCTTCCCAAATACTTTGGTACTTCTTGGTTTGTTTAACAGACTGTTTTGCCCTTTCAAATGAGCTAAGCATTAATTTTCACTCGAGTTGATTTTTCGCCATAAAGAGCGAGTTTAACGATCAGTTTAGGCCAGGAAAGCAGCGGGAAGACAGGGAAACCCGGGGGCTGGTTTTCCACATGTCGTTCTCGACACTTGGCTAAATGGCCCGCTAACATTCTGTATTCCCAGACACTCGACTCTTGGCTAAATTATGCTATAAATCAGTTTGATGTTGCCATCAATTGTTTACACGAAAAGGCGTGTATTCATATTATGCATTTCAGGCATCCCAGGAATTTCGAAACAATAATTCGATCTATAAACAATTTTTGAATGCAGTGAAAACAATCAATTAATTGGACAAAGCATAAACTTTATGGCTCAGCTGTAAAATTATAAATATGTGGGTGTGATAATTTCAGACAGCTTATATAGATGGTTCTTTCTTTGGTTTTTTGGGAGAAATATATACCTAAATCACGAAACAGCATAAGAGAATAAAGTTCCTGATTTACGACTTTTCAAACTTTAGAATCAAGGACAAAAATATTTAAATGTTTACGTGAAAAATTTATTAAACATTTCTTTCAGGATATGGTTTTGATATATTTTTAATGTTTCTTATCCATGCATTACTACCTAATTCTCTCCGTTAAAATTACAGAAATTTAAACATTTTCCTATTTTTGTTTTTCCAGGAGGTCAGCTCAAGACCAAGAATGGACAGAAATACGTTTTCAATGGACCTCCGTCGGGGGTTTATGTTTCCAAAGCCTGCCTGATCATCGCCGCCTTCATCACAGTTCTGGCCTTGCTTTTCACCATTGTGATTACCTATTTTGTGACCAGACAGGGATTCCCGCCCAAGGAGGCGACTCCCAGGTGAGTGGGGAACCCGATCCAAATCAAAAACTTTTGTATTTTGGGTGTGGTTTTATTATTTAGTTTGGTCGGGTATTTGTTTTTTGTGGTTCGCGGTTCCGTTTTGCATTTTCTGCTAAACGTTTTGGCAAGCGTGCTAATTGGCAGTCGAGGGCGACATGACCTCATTTGGAAAAGTGAAAGCAGTTTATGTTTCTGCGATTCCTTTGACGCTTTTCGAGGTGTGGAAGGGTCAAAAAATTGGGTGTGACCCGAGCACTTTGCATAAAAATAAAACCAACCCAGAACTGATTTGTATCCTTGTCTCTTCTTTAGTTGCATCACCAACGATCATCATGATGTTAATGCGACGCCCATCCAAACGGCAGGATGGGTGAGCATGAATTCTCCGCCGCCCTTGGATGGGGCCACGCCCACTCCAACGCCTACGCCCACTACCACAACAAGTAAAGCCACTACCACTACAGCAACCTTGGCCACGCCCACTTCAACGGAGGCGGACGAAATAAAGTTGGTGGATCCCAAAGTGGGTGATATACCAGTGGTGGTGACTCCCATCGAGGAAATCGAGGACAACACCACCAAGCCCACAAATCGTCCACTCAAACTATACGAAGGATGGCGCCCACTTCACTATAGGTAAGTCCAGAAGCACTTGACCACTTTTCCACTTAGGCCAGCAATTGCTCTTAATGGAAATTAAACCAAACACGCGCTGAAATCCCCTTAATTCCGCTTAAATTGCTTTGCATGCTCGCATTTCAATTTGGAACAAAGATGCAACTGCAACTGACACTTAAATTGCTCACTCAGATTTTCCAGCATTTCCTGTTCTTTTTTTTTCTGCTGTCACTGCAAATGCCGGAATCGATCTAGTACTTCTCCTGCTGACATTTGATGGAAATCTGGATCAATTTGTTAAGCTAAAACGCTTCTATCAAGATGTGTTTTGACAAGTTAAAAGAAAAGCTTGTCAGATGTATAAGTGTGATAACTTAATCGTTTAACAAGTTAATGGTTAAATGGATAAAGCTGTCAAAAGTTTAGAAAAGGGAGAGCTGATAATGTGACTTCATTAAAATAATTTTCAGTATTATTTTAAATACAGCAATTATTTAGAAACCAATCAGTTTCAGTAGACACAATTATATATAATTATTTTATGACAATCGGAAGAGAAGATAATAGATAAGAACAATTTTAAAACTTCTCTACGATCCTAGGAATTTATCAAAATATTTATTGAAGGTTGAAATAACGAGGTTCTATAGAACATTTACTCAGTAATACTTCTGAAGTAGTTTTATCAAGCGCTGTAATAATAAAATGTAAATCTATGCTAATAGCGCCAACTTTTCGCAATCCCATCTCATAAATAATATCGCTACCCAGTCGCCGAGCCCTTTCTTTATCTATATCCTTATCCTTGGCGAATTTCTCCACTTTTCGCATCCGCCCCAAGTCAACCCCATTGACGTCACTTTTTCTGGGGTCGCGACGTACACGTTTACTTTTCTATTTCTATGGCCCAAAAGTGGGTCAAGGATTGAGCCGTTGCAGTTCAGTAGTCGCCGTGTAGCAAAGTGGACACCAGTCAGCTACTTGTGAGCAGGCTAACAAGTTGTTTAGGCCGCCACAGGAGATGGCCAGTAAATGTAGCTATACCATCTAAACAGGCAACCATCAGTCACACTTCATTTCACGCAGAAGATGCGGCACAGATCTGAAGGAAAGAATTAACGCATGCCGACGGTCGGCATGACATAATGCGCCAAATAGATGGGCAGATAGAAAGATATACTTTTATACTCCTCTGTAGCCGCATGCATTAATATAATTGACACAGAAAGCCCAAGCTGGGCATTAATTTGAGCATGAGCACCGCACGCAGCCTCAAAAAATAAGCAGACTTCAGGAGGGAAAATCCAGCGAGTCGATTCTTGATGGATGGCGGCAAGTGCAGCACAGTTTTGCCACTCGAGCGGATCGATGGCAAGTGATTTTGCAGCTGGCGATCAAAGCAAACAGTGTTGACCGGTATCTGTATCTGGGAGATGGTATCTGCAGAAGCTCGCTTCCTGGTTGCCCCTAACCGACACACACGCATTGTAAGCCAATCGCCTCAATTAATTGCAACTAGGCGCAAAGCCCGCACCCAGGGGATTCCAGATTGGCTAGGGGTTAGGAGGAGTCGGAGGATCGGGAATCGGAGATTGGAGGCTGGCTGCATCTGCCAGCGGGTCTGCGGCATTCTTGGCATTCGTGTGAGAGAACGAGCTGGGGGAATTGATATTCAATCTATGGGGAATACTCTTGGCTTCAGGGGTTAGTCAACTGCTAGGGGATTTTATTTGATTGCCATAATTAGGAAGAAAATAAGTGGTGTGATACAATGGCTTTAAATAGATTAACAGTTAATGGGATACTAAAAACTATATCAATTCAAATTACTTAATTTAAATGTCAAGAAAAATTAGTACATTTTTCTATAAAGTATCTATGCATTAACTACCTAGACTAATGATTATTTTTACCGAGAGCTATAATTCTTATGCGTCAAAATAAATTTAAGCTCATGTAAAATTGTGTAAACTCCTCTGTCTATTTTTCCTAAAATGCTAACTAGTTAACAATCAGTTTGAGTAACCATAGAGCATTATAAATTCATAACACTCTACTAGCAAATTATCCTGCTTCTTGTTTGCTTTGATTTGATTGCTGATGCGACTTATGATGGCATGCATTTCATTTGCCGCCATCCCGGACTAATGGCGGCGTCCGAAGTTCGAGACAGAGATTTCAGTGTGAATGGGATTGCTTTTTGGTTTGGTTTGGATTGGATTGCATTGCCCCCGAACGGGTGCCAAACACATGTTTGGATGTGGTCGCCTCTAATTTGCCCTCTTGGCGAGTGACTGATTGATTGACTGGCACTTTTGATGGGGCCAAACTGACATTTTTGGCAGCCATTTGCATTTCACCTGCATAGCGAATGTTTGCTCTGGCATTTCCCGATCTATTTATATTAAAAAATCCCTCTTCTTGCAGCCTGATAATTGAACCCAGTGCGGAAACATCAAGCAGCAATGGCAGTTTGACCATCGAGATCGAGAGGGATGTGACCAAGGTGACCAGCTGGGAGCCCATTGTGCTGGATGTGCACAATGTCAGTATCTCCAATGTCCGGGTGATTCGTGCCCTGCCAACTAAACCGGGCAGTGTCAACGAGGAGCAGGAGCTGGAATTTGACAGCGACTATGGAGAGGATAATGCCACCTTTGTGATCGGTTTGGATAAGGCTTTGGCGGGGGAAAACCAGCTGCGACTGATGCTCAGTCTGGACTTCATCAGCCAGGTGACGGACACTCTGCAGGGCGTCTACAAGACCAGCTATACAAATCCGGATACCAATAAAGAAGAGTAAGTAACGCCCCTAAGCAGATCTTAAAACATCAATCGATATTTTCTATTGTTTTTAGAGATAGATGTTTTTCGGATATCTATGTTTTCCTGTCGTTTTATTCCAAAGTATATTTTAAAAGTTTAACAAAAATAGTGCAGTTTAAATAGTATCGATACCATTGATAATTGATTGTTAAAAGCTATCGAAAATATCGATATTATCACAAATAGATCTCGTTTTTACAAAAATAGTACAGTATAAATAGTATAAATACTATCGATAATTGATTGCTGGAACTATCAAAAATATCGATATTATTAAAAATCGATCATTATCACCCTCTACCCCTAGAAAACCCACTTACACTTCCACCCTACTTTCAGATGGATGATCAGCACTCAGTTCTCGCCCATCGATGCCCGTCGCGCCTTTCCCTGCTTCGATCGTCCCGACATGAAGGCCAACTTCTCAATCAGCATTGTGAGGAGCCTGCAGTACAAGATGGCCCTCTCGAATATGCCCAAATCCCACACCAGTCGCTATCGCAAGGGTTATGTGAGGGATGACTTCTTGATCACACCCAAGATGCCCACATATCTGGTGGCTTTCATAGTTTCTAATATGCAAGATTCCCGATTCGCGACATTGGACAGTGAAATGACGCCGCGAGTGGAGATTTGGTCGCGACCGCCGTTCATGGATATGACCCATTATGCCTATAAGATGGTGCGAAAGTTCCTGCCCTACTACGAGGATTTCTTTGGCGTGAAGAACAAGCTGCCCAAGATCGATTTGGTTTCGGTGCCGGACTTTGGATTCGCTGCCATGGAAAACTGGGGACTGATAACCTTCCGGGACTCGGCTCTCCTGGTGCCCGAGGATCTGGAGCTGGCTTCCTCCTCGGAGCACATGCAGTATGTGGCCCAGATTATAGCCCACGAATTGGCACATCAGTGGTTTGGCAATCTAGTGACCCCCAAGGGGTGGGATGATCTGTGGCTGAAGGAGGGCTTCGCCTGTTATATGAGCTATAAGGCTTTGGAGCACTCGCACCCAGAGTTCCAGATCATGGACACTCTGACCATGTTGGAGTTCAAGGAGTCCATGGAGCACGATGCGGATAACACCTCGCATTCCATTTCCTTTGATGTGAAGTCAACCAACGATGTGAGGCGCATCTTTGATCCGATTAGCTATTCCAAGGGCACCATCCTGCTGCGCATGCTCAATTCGATTGTGGGCGATGTGGCCTTCCGGGCGGCCACTCGGGATTTGCTCAAGAAATATGCATATGGGAACATGGATAGGGACGACCTGTGGGCCATACTCACCCATCATGGCCATAAGGAGGGCACTTTGCCCCAGGATCTGAGTGTCAAGCAGATCATGGACTCGTGGATCACCCAGCCCGGCTATCCGGTGGTCAATGTGGAGCGACGTGGTGCGGATCTGGTGCTCAGTCAGGAGCGCTACCTGCTGCCCTCCAAGAATTCAGCGGATCAGAGTAGTTGGTTCATCCCAATTACCTTTGAAACCGATGAATTGCACAAGGGTGACAATATACCTACCCACTGGATGAGGAGTCAGGACGAGAACGAGCTCATCATCGGGAATGTCTTCACGCACAACAGCAACAGCGATAATGTGATCTATCTGAATCTCAACCGACAGGGTTACTATCGGGTGAACTACGATATGACCTCTTGGCTGGCGTTGAAGAAGAACTTTAGCACCTTGCCCCGGATCACAAGAGCCCAGTTGCTGGACGATGCACTGCATCTGTCGCAGGCGGAGTATCTCACCTATGACATACCGTGAGTTTTAGGGGTTTTAAATATTATAAGAACATTTTCTAATCAAATTTTCTTGTAGATTGACCTTCCTGATGGAGCTGTTTGATGCCGTGGATGATGAGTTGCTTTGGAGTGCCGCCAAACCTGGTCTCAACTATCTCATTTACAATCTGAAGAGGGAGCCTGCTTACGAGACCTTTAGGGTATGATATTATAGAACCTTTTCTATTTAAAGTTACTTATTTTTAATTTCCCATACCCAGGCCTTCATGAAGTTCATTGTGCGTCCCGCCTTTGATCATTATGGTCTGAACGAGCCGGATAATGAGTCCCATTTGCAACTGAAACATCGCGCTTTGGTGGCCTATTTTGCCTGCAAATTCAACTATGATCGCTGCACCCAAGTGGCGCAGGTGAAGTTCCGCGAATGGATGCGCGATGCCAAAAAGAATCCGTAAGTTTTTTACCCTTCTTATTATAAGAAATATAATTTTAAAGGATTTTTTCCCCCACAGCATAAAGCCAAATCTGAAGTCTGTGATTTACTGCACATCTCTGGCCGAGGGTTCTTCACCGGAATGGTATTTCGCCTATAAGCAATACAAGACAACCACGAGTGCTTCGGAAAAGGAAGAGATACTGACCTCGCTGGGCTGCACCACCAAACCCTGGCTGCTGTCCAAGTGAGTTCCTATTCAACCCAAGCCAAAGGTCAATGATTAATTTATATTACTTTTATAGATACCTCAATATGACCATCAATCCCACATCGGGTATATTGAAACAGGATGGAGCCTTGGCCTTCCGGGCAGTGGCCTCCAATGCCATTGGTCATGAGATAGCCTTTGATTTTCTGCAGGGCAACATCAAGGAGATTGCTGAATAGTAAGCTTAATTTATGAGATATTAAAATATATATTAATGGATTTTACTTTATAGCTATGGCGATGGCTTCTCCACTCTGTCCGAGATGATCAAATCATTGACCATCTACATGAACAAGGACTATCACAAGCACCAACTTCTGGACCTGGCCGCCACCTGTCGAAAACTGGGACTGAAGGCCGTGGAATCTGCCATCAACTTGGCCATGGAGCAGGTCAACAATAATATCTACTGGCGCAGCCATTCTTACCACAGCCTGAAGAACTTCCTCGAAGGCATCGTCAGCGAGTTCCAGATCAACATCTTCTAGATGATCATCGCCGTAGGGAATAGAGGGGAAAATTCAAATTGATTTCAACCAAAAAAACAAAAACGCGATTTAGTTACCATTATTTGTATTCGTGCAAAGGCCTCAAATTAATTTAATGAAACGAATTATTTGCGAAAAGTGATATAAACGTGTAAGTTAGGCAGCATAATTTAGGTAACCGATTACTTTTTGCAATTGTATATTTATTTATTTGTAAGACGCGCTTCTTCAGCTTCTTCGCATTGCTCTGCAAGGTTCCTACTAAAAATAGAAAGCGACCGGAAAACCCACATAGTTCGAATAAAACTCTCATTCATCAGTTTTAGTCCAAAACACCAATATATATCTGCCACAAAATATCTAATGCTGCTTGTGTAAAATCTATATTACCTATACGTATGATTGTCAAGTACTTTATGTTCGCACACCCTTAGATCCTAAGTGAATCAATCTAGCACTAAGAGAACCAAAAATCTATTTTGTAGTCGATCCAATCAAGATGTTTAGAAGGCCATGGGAAGAAAGTATATGGAAGTTAGGCTTCGGGGTTAGGAAGATATTGAAACTGAGTGTCCTTAATGCATGGTTTAAAATGTTTGCTAAAGCAAGGATAGTACACACACATACACACAAATATATTTATTAATGTACGAGTACCTATTATGTATTTTGTAAAGCCCAACACGGAATTACTTGTATCGCTGCTGCACAACCATGTAAATAAGTTTTAAAGCTTACACTAAACATTTAAATAAACTATGTATTTACGTAATTTTATTCAAAGAGCAAAGAATTTATGGGCTGGGTTTTAAATTTTGGCGGTTTCAGAAAGGGAATGTTAATGTGTCCCTGGTTTGGAAGCCATTTGGATTTTCAGGATTGCGTAGTATGGTCACACTGAACGGGGCATAAAAAAATTTGACCTTTTCGTCACTTAAGGCTAATTTTACGCTCCTCTAAACAAATTGTTTTAATCTTTTTATTATTTAAAAAATAAAATTAAAAAATAGGCATTTAAATTTTTTTAATTCAATGGCAACCCTAGACCATGTTCTCGTAGATATTTTGCGTTTCCAAGCACGGTCATACTATCCAAAAAACAAATTTTAAAGCGTAAACAAACCATAAAAGTATAAAAGTCGGATTAAAAGTAAGTAAAGGAATTTATTAAAGTTAATATAAGGACTAGTAATTGTTAAATCATACCGATGACCTAGTGTCTGAATATATGTGAGACTATTTTTTAGCGGTCTTGAGATATTCAGCGCATGGCAATTTAAGGACATGTTATGATCTGTACTGTACTGCAACCACATTTTATCTTTTAGTGCTCTCCAGACGCAAGTGGACAGGATCTGAGGAGGACAGATTCATCGACATATGGGTGCACAACCTGCATCTATTTGTGCCCGGCAAGAAACTGACGAACGTCTACACGGAGCTGGAGCTGTATTATCGGGATGTCGGCATAGAAGTCACCGCCCAAGGTGTCAAGTCCAAAATGGAGACACTGAAGCGAAAATATTTCACGTCAGTATATTCCTGTCAAAGTGGTGAATAGTTTTGATTATTTTCAAGATTTCAGTATGCTGCACTCCGACGATGATTCGAGTACCTGGAAACACTTCGATACGATGGCCCATATAGTAAATAGTTCAATCAAAGACTCCAAAGATACAGAATGGAAGGACTATACGAAGCCACCAAAAGAGCCACCAAAGCCCTCTCGTAAGAAGTCCATAAATTCCTGCCATAAAATTCCAACTAATCAGGGTTTTTACTTTACTTTAGGCAAAACGTGTTCCTCTGTTTATATGGACGATGGCTCACAACCCGAAAGCGAATACGGTAAGAGATCCTTTAAATCCATGCCATATTATAAACTAAATATTATTCTTATTTATAGAGGGAACGTTTAACTCGGTCTTCGTAGACGAAAGTTCTCCGCACCTTTTTAATGAAGAGGAAAAACCCAAAGTCAAGAGACGAAGGCGAAGATTAAAAAATAATAATATTAATATTACGAGCAAGCCTGGAGGAAAACGTAGAGTATGGCAGACGGCGGATGAATGCAAATTCGTTGATGTCTGGAGAAAGTATGGCAGTGATTTACAAAGCGATAGGCGGAAAAAAATGGATGTTTATAAGGATATGCATTGGGACCTTGACAAGATTGGTATTAGTATATCGCCAAATGATATCAAGTCCAAAATTGAATCCCTTATTCGCGTCTTTAGGTAAAAGTCCTTAAAACCAATTTGTTTTTTATAATTAATCAAGAATCTTTGCAGAGCTCATCAATATTCTGACGGCGACAAGTCCGAATGGATTCACTATAAAAAAATATCTCAGACTCTTAATCCTACAGAAAGCCACTACGAAGCTACAGAAGAGCCCAATGGCTGCAGCAGCTCCGAAGAAGTTTCAGATTCAGAATGGTTCAAGGAAATGGAGCTAAAACCCGAAACCAACACCTGCAGCAATCCCTCAAATGACTCTGTTGTCAATGAATTCGATGGTAGTATTCAGGCAGAAACTAAGATCTGCACCGATCCACCGAATTCAAACTCCTCTGTTGTCAATCAGTTCGAAGGTAGTATTGACCACTACTCTCACGATTCCGATTCCAGCATAGAATTTTCTATGGTTGATCCTGATCCTGATCCGAGACTCTGCCAAGTGTCTATTGAGATATTAGACCAAGAAGAGGAGACTAAGCCTATTAAAATGTTCGATGAAGAACTATTGGAACAAGAAGAGCCGATCAAGACGTTTCAATCCCCTCCTGAGGAAAAACTAAAAGCAGCTGAAGAGTTTAGCAAATTTGTAACAAAAGAGTTGGCCGTCTTGAATGATGATTTGCTAATCGAAGCAAAGCGCCAAATTTACAATGTTATATGTGCCCTGCAAATGAAACAAAATAAAGTTAATAAAAAATCGTAATTGACCAAATAAACGCACCTATTTTTCATTGAAGTAACTTGTGTTTTAATCTTTATTCAGTGGCCGTTAAGTTCCCTGTTAAAAAAATTTTGTTTATAAAAAAAATTCTTAATATAAAAATAAAAAAAATTTATTTAGGTTCTACCGAGATTTGAACTCGGATCGCTGGATTCAAAGTCCAGAGTGCTAACCATTACACCATAGAACCGCGTTGTCAGGCTGGCGCAAAACAAAATATTTACCACCGGCACAACAAAATGAACGAAATCCGTTTTTTTGGGTGGGATAATTAGAAAGTATTATGTTTCTATGAAATTATTCGTAATAAAAATCGTTTCCTATTAAAAAATATAAACTGAAAAAATAAAAAAAATAATTTTTCGGTTGCAGGTTCTACCGAGATTTGAACTCGGATCGCTGGATTCAAAGTCCAGAGTGCTAACCATTACACCATAGAACCTTGATACGATGCTTGCTGCTAAAACACACTTTTGTGCTGCGGGCACACTTCTAGTTACCCAGGGGTGGGTTTTGAGGAGGGGGTGGATGGAAGGGAGACGATTGTGCATTTTAAAAATAGGTATGAAATAAACATTTCCGATAAAGACAAAGACGTGCATTTTAATAACAATGCAATTTAGCTTGTTTGTATTGTCCAAGGAATTCGAATGTTGTGTTCCCCTAAATCTGTTCCTTAATTTCTCTTAGTATTATCATAATTTTGAGGGCCAAGTAAGGGTTGTCTTACTAAAATTCAACTCATTTCCAAAAAACACATACATATGTTTGTTGCCAAGCAAGCCGGCATTTTTATGCTTGATCGATAAACACAATACAAAATAGAAAACCTAGAGCAGTTCTTATATTTATTTCCTAGTGCGAAGTCGAAAAAATGGAAACCGAAAATAAAAAATCTCTATTAGAGAAATTTGGTATACCTATTCACCATTTGGACTTTGCTTACGTGGAAAAGTGTACAAATGGACGGGAAATGGAGAAAATCGTGCAAATCCTGCGCTCCGGCCAAGAAGGTTTCTATCCAGATTTGTTAAGAGTTTCGGAGGAGAAACTTAAGCAACTGAAACCAGACAGTAGACTATTTCGCTACGAGGAACAGATTAAGCACAGTAATGTCTTGGACCCAAAAGAACTAAAACCCATCCTGGTAGGTCTTTAAATCTCTCTTTTTAAAATAGGTATAAACTTTATGAGACAATTTAAGGATTGGACTGATGCCGTTAAATCGAAGGACAGTGCTCTAAACGAGCTGAAAAAGTCGAAACAAAAATTGGATCTTCCGTCTGTACGCAAACTATCGAAAATCGAGTTGGAAAAACAGAGCACTGAGCCAAAAAAGCCTGTGGCAAAAGCAGAATCTCAGCCCAAGGCCAAGGTCAAGGATGATAGGATTAGATCGACAGACTACCGCAAATGGGATAAATACGATCCCGATGAGGAGATACTGCGCATGGATCTGGCTGAAGAACGCAACAATGAGCAGGCCGAGCAGAAGATTTCCGCTTACCAGAAATCGACTAAAGAAAATGAGTTGGAAAACGAAAATGCTTCCATGTATGAACGCCTTCAAACGCAGTTGAAGAACCTAAGCCAACTGGAGCGGGAACAATTCGCAGAGAGGTATTTTATACAGAATAATTTCTTATCAAGTCTTTTAAATATGTTTTATCCCCAAAGACATCGTTTCAAAGGAAATGAGTACTTCAAAGCCAAGGAATACGCCAATGCCATTGAGGAATACAACTGCTCTATTCTATACGATCCTGAAAACGCCGTTCATGCCTACAATAATCGCGCTGTATCTCGTAAGTGATAAATAATATTACTAAAACTAAAACTAATAATTGAACCAATATCTTCTCCCCACACAGATATCAAATTAAAGAAATACTTTTCAGCTGTAACGGATTGTCAGGCCTGCTTGCAGTTGGACCCACAGAACATCAAGGCCCATCTCCGCATGGCCGATGCTCTAAATGCCGATGGAAAACATCTTGAGGTGATACCCGTTTAAGAACTTTTACTTGTCAAATATCTGCTAAATAATCCCCGTTTCTTAGTCCTTGTCTGTGTACAAAAAACTGCTAGAATTGGAGCCAGAAAATAGCATTGCCAAGAAAGCCGTGGAGCATCTAACTTCTTTGCTGGGCGAAGTGGCTCCGGATAATGCCACACGTTTGATCATTGAGGAACTCGATCCGCCGGAGATAAAGACTTCCGAATCCAAGAAAAAAGCGGTGGTTAAAAAAACACCATCTGAGGTAAAGAAAGAGCAGCCCCCGAAGGATTACGATCTGGCCGAGTTGATCAAACCGAATCGCATTATTAAAAACAATTTGGTCTCAGCCGCCGAGGCCTTGGGCAATAAGTTCCAGGCTCCCAAGGGCACTGTTGCTTCCCAGAAGCCATCACCTCCCACTTCAACCCCACAAGAATCCATGTTGCGTTTGCCACAGGACAACCTCAACACCAGCAATAAGTTGCTAATCCAGGAGATTTAAAGATATTCCTTGTCTGGTTAGTCACAAGGTAACTGCAGCAAGGGTTTTTTATTCATTGTTGGGGTGCATAAAAATAGATATAATATAAATAAATGATGGCAGAATCACTGCTGCAGTAGTTTCTTAATATAGCGACCAACCACCAGAAAGGGACGCTGCTCGAATTCGTGCTTCTGTTCCATGGTGACGGTAACCTAAACAGGGAAATGGATTTTCAGTTAGGATTTTTCAAAATAAATATAGGGTTATTCCCATTACCTGATCCCCTTGAAGGCGGTTTACAATGGTCACGCAGACATCGCCCGCCTTCACACCAACTTTTTGGGTCACGGAGGCGAACATGCTGGCCTCCATCTCAATGTTCCGGATTCCCAGATCATGGCACTTTTTCAGGAAGTCCATCTTATCCTGCTCCGTATATTCGCATATTGCTCCGTCGATGCGTCCCTGACCTAGGTAAAAGAAATTCCCATAGAGCAACGCAGATTTGGGAAAACCTACTGCACACCTACCCTCGTAAAAGCAATCTGTTCCCATTGTATTGGCACTTATGGTCTGAAAACCGTCCTTGGGATCAGCACCATATTCCATAATATCCTTGATCACATCCACGGAAAACTGAGCCGGTCGCACCACTAGTTTTCCAAGAATTGCCTGAATAATAATTATTCGGATTTACACAAAATTGTGTTAAATCATCAAAACCACTTACGATTGCATGCTCGTTGCGCAGCAGACCGTTAAATGCATCCTTGGTGACCACCACTGTACCAGGTGGAACTCCCACTCCTCCGCAGGTGCCGATTCGCAGGAAGACGGGATCCTGGCAGCGGGCATACTTGGCCAGCTTGAGAAGCTCATGAAGAACCACACTGAAAGTCGAGGATCCAACGCCGTGACTCACGCACAACACCGGACCCACTTTATACATGGCATAGCGATGCCCACGTTCGCACAAATCCACTGGATCACTTGAGTCCGACACCTCCAAAACCTTTCGCATATATAAAGCTAAGTCCCGCATCCGGGAAGCAGTTCCACCCATGCAGATTACCTGGTGAAAATTCGAAATTAGTCAAATAAAAGTAATTTATTTATCTTTTTCTCACCCTGACATCGCCGAATCTCTGTTGAATATCACCAGTGTCTTGGGTATTGGCCACATTAATATCCAGGTGGTACAAAAAATCCGAAGGCATGGTATCCAAATGGGGATTGGCCAACTTGGCAGTACTGTCAATATATATCACATTTAATATTTTCTTAATTTTGGTGAAGCTTTTACTCACTTTTCCGACATTTTTTGAGATGGTTCTTTCGTACTTTCTTTTGAGTAAAGGCTGAAAATCTGAAAATAACACAATTTTGTTATAAAGATGGATTTTAAAATTAGCTTTCAGATGATTAGCCCTAAAAAATGTATGTTTGCTGCCGGCGACTCGTCTGTTTGTTGCCAATTGGCAACAAATTTCCTAATCTTATCTATATCTATCAAGAACCACTTTTTAATTTGTCTAAAAAGATAACATGAATATAGCTATATATTGCACACAATATTTTTTTTGTTTTCCATACACACACATCTGTATATATGAAATATTATTTAAGGGGTGTGTCTTTTACTCACACAAGCACCCATCTATACTATAAACTTTACTTTTCTTATGTAGCAATCTTTAGATTTTTTCATTTATATATATTACTTTTTTATGTCAACGATCACTGCCAAGGCGTTTGTAAATAAAAATGAAAAACACGTACGACTGAGGAAATGTGCGATCCGTTCGGTCCGAGTGCTGGCACGCTACTTAAGTGAAAACTAAAATGGAACTGGACAAGGGGATCGGTCAGAATCGAATCCACGCGTTGCAGCTATCTGGTAGGCACAATGTAAATAAGTTAACAAACACAGAGGGTTAACAGATCCAGAAATGTTACTAAAATGGAACTGAACCAGAGTGATCGGTCAGAATCGTTTCCATTCGTTGCAGCTAAATGGTACACACAATGTAAATAATTTAACAAAGAAAGACGGCTTTCAGATACAGAAATATTACTCCCACAAACATTACTCATAGCGACCCTTAACACTGAACAACATAAAATTGAAAAAATCGTGCTGTTGGGAGTGAATTTTCAAAATTTTCTTCCTATTTTTGTGTGCGCTTTCTTATAAGAACCCAACCATTCAAATATCCCTCAAAACAAGATTAAAACTCGCTAAGTTACTTGTATAATTTAATTACAATTTGTTTTTAATATACCGTTGAAATATTTTTCATAAATTTCGTTTTTACAATATAACTTGTATATTTTTCATGTGCTATCCGTAATAATATGTTGTTTGTTACTTTCAGCATTCTTGTTCTTCTTCATATTGTTTTAATTTATTTGAATATAACTAGACAGAGAAAGATTAAGTGCTGTTTGGTTTTTGGTTTTAGAGTCGAGTGTACGGTAGCAACACTAATCAACATGTACATTTAACAAATCTTTAGGAATTTCAATACAAGAGAATAATTTATTAAACATAAATATAGCATTAAATTGTTATTTTAAGAGTGTGCTATTATTGTTTGAACCTTTTCCTATTGGTTAGCCCCATTTAAAATATGCAACATAACAATTAACAATTTTATTTAATTTTCTATATTATTCGTTTTTGTTCTTTTGTGATCTCAAAAGCGTTTATTTCTGATAACCTTTGAACGTCACACTCAGTGATACCGTTTTCTAAACATTATAGGTATTATATTTGTGGTAACATATTTCGGCGTTTAGCAGCCCAATGAATATACGTACAATATGCTCGGGTTTAAATTATCTAATGAGGTTGAGAGGGCGATATACACAGAAATAAAGCTAGGAACTTAATCAGAGCTAAACTAGGGAATGTTGAAACACCGTTTTGTATACTGGAGAGATGCGAACGTACATCGTACATATATGTAGTAAGAGGGTAAGATTAAATGAAACTGGCGATATGACGACCCGCCGATTACTCGTGGGCCTGAGACTCCTGCTGGACGAGCTTGAAGCGCCGGGGCGACTTGATGGATCCCTGGTGTCCAAAGAGGTTCTTTAGCTGCCCATTGTGTGTGAGGACCTTGCGAATATAGCGCGACACGAGGATCTGGGGACGCTATAAAAGGAAAGAAAATAATGTTAATAAAAATCTAGTAAAAGGTTTTATTTTGATTCACCCACCTGCTGCCATTCGTGCATGACCTCCTTGGGCGCATTGACCTGATCGCCATTCAGGCGGTTCAGCAGGGCCACACAAACCACCGCTGCCTTGATCCCAGCATGGTGGGTCAGGGCCGCGAAAATGGTGCTCTCCATCTCGATATTGACCACCCCATTCTCGCGCAGCTTATCCAGATAGGCCATCTTGTCGTTCTCGCTGAACTCGCAGAAGGCGCCGTCCAAGCGGCCCTGTCCCTCGTAGAAATCGTTGGTGCACAGCGTCTTGCCAATAATGGTGTCATATGGATCATCGGCACTCGAGAGGGACTTCAGCTCGCGGGCCAGCTTCTTGTCCAGCTTCGCAGGGCGATGGATGGTCTCGCCCAGAATGGTCTGTGAAATGGGAAATAAAATTTTACTAAATTTGTAAGATTAACATAAAAATGGAGAATATAGATATTCTTACAAATTCATGGGAATTCCTCAGCTGACCATCGAGGGCATCCTCGGTGATGATAACAGTGCCCCCGTCGACGCCCACTCCTCCGCAGGTGCCTATCCTGATAAAGACGGGATCCTTGCACTTGGCGTGGTACATCAGCTTGATCATCTCGTGCATCAGGATGCTGACCGAGGGCGTTCCCATTCCATGACTGACGCACAGAACAGGTCCCACTTTGTACATCGAGTAGCGGTACGAATAGGCACTGATGTCCTGCAGTTGGGTGCCCGCTGGCAACTTGTAGCCAATCTCGTTCATGATGAAGTGGGCAAAGTTTTCCATTCGCTTTGGGGTGCCACCCATGCAAACAAACTGTAAAGGAGTTCAAAAAATATTAAATATTAAATGGTAGTAAAGGGGATTGCCCTAACTTGTATTTCATATTTGTTAAGTGTTTTATATTGCTCATAAGTTTATTTTGTAATCTAAACAAGTCGTTACTAAGCAATAAATACAAATGAGCATTTAATAAAAACACAGATCAATATTTAGAAATTAGTAATCTTATCAGATTTCGTTAGGTTTATAAATCTGAATGACTTATGAGCTTAATTAACTTAATAGGCAACAGTTGAACAACTCGTTTGCGATGGTGCTCCACTTGACTTGATAACAATCAAGGTCTAGGTCTGTGTCTAGTCTCTACCACTTGTCTTTTGGCTCAGTTTAGATAATGAATAATTCAAGAGAATAATTCACTCACCTTAACATCGCCAAACATCTCCTGTAAATCGTGGCTCTCGCTGCCCAACGCCAAATGATATAGGATATCCTGGTCCATGAGCTCAATGTTTGAGTTGCGCAATTTGACGGTGCCATCGGAGTATCTGTAATTAAAACAAATTCGCATTAATTTAAAAAACCGGGTCGGCATTATTCTAATCACCACCTGCGGGGTCCATTAATTTACGCCCACGTTTGTGACCAAGAAAATGAATGAGTTAATTACTTTCAGCTATACACGGTTCAGCCCACTTAAAAATGCTCGTTCCCTGATAAAAGATAAGGCTATCTAAGTGTTTCCTAGAAATATAGCTGCACGAACAAGCCCCCAAAAAGTTTAATCAGTAAAGAGATTCGTCATTCACTTTATCTTGTGCGTATTTTGGGTTCCATATTCATTCTGTTTTAATTTCGATATCCATTTATTTTGTAAGTCATCCTCACTTGTATCGAAATTTATACATTCACTGGTGAAATATTTTTGAGCACTTCGTTTCATTAAATTCATGTTGTTAATACTCATCATGAGCAAGCAGATAGTATTTTTGTATTTAATGGTTTCAAATGTCAGTTTTCTAATCAATATGCGAATCAGAAAACATTATTTATAGAGACCCCCCTCGAAGCAGGGAGCCTAAATTTTAGCAACACCCGACTATAATCTTTATCAAGTGCGTCAAACGGGAAAAAAACATGTTAGAAGTGTGAGCAAAACAAAAAGCAAAATTTCTATGACTCGAATCTCGAGCATAGGCAAAAAAATAAAAACCCCGGTGTAGTCTTGACCTTGATTGATAAGGGAAATATGAATATATAATATATATTTCGTAATGGAAGCGACAAACATCCGATTATAAGCATAACTCATGATTTAATGAGCTCGGAAACCGGATCACATGAAAAGTAATCTCTGAAATGAATACAGGTAATACAGGGTAATCGAGTGGCCGACACACCCACTGGGTGCAAATATTTGATCAACTGGCGTTTCGTATTTTGTTTTGCTTTGGCTCTTTGGCAGAGGCAGTTTTTCTTGGTATTTACCCAAAAGAGGTGGCGTTTTTGTGCCAACACAGCGATTTGTCATCGGGCCATATAAATACTATAAAGACCGCAATGCAGTGCACAGATGCACAGATTGTTTGTTATTCTGTTATTCACCGTTTTCTGAATAGAAAGAGGGCTGATTCGAGGTGAATAAAAATAACATTTGTTTATAGAAATTCAGAAACATCTAGAACTGTCCGCCAAAAGACAACAACCCCTGATCCTGCAGCTGCAGGATGAAAACCGGTTTTTAGCATCCTTACCGCGTTATCCTTTTCACATGGGCATCATCTGTCTCATCGTCCTGCAGAGAGGACCTGTGGGCGCAATCGTAGTGGGCCTTGAAATCGTGCGTCTGATTATCGGTAATGGTGGGCGGCATGATGTCACCTCCTTAATGTCCTTACTAACTCACAAAACTATGAACCGAAACCAACGAGCCGAAACAAACCAAAATAGGGATTCGTATATACACGTCAACGCTTCGAGCGAAACTGAAAAAATTGCTTGGGTTTCGCCGGGTCTTATATAGTCGAGTTTACAGAGCTCTGTTAGCGGAGCTGTTGTGCGCTGTTGATTTCAGACCGCCCATGTTAAAAATATATATAGATAGACTATCTCTTCTATGAATCGGAAGTTCTCCATCATTTATGCTGCGCAATTTGATTGTAGAAATCAAAGTATATATATTACAAACAATATTTTTATTTTATGTAATAAAAACGTGCTGGTTTCTAGGGGCAAGGTCACTTGTATAGGGGTACATACAACCGATTGTTATCAGTTCAAACCGACTTATGCAGCGACTAATCAAGTGCAATTGCCTGCCGCCTCAAGGCAAAAATTGCAGCGGAGCATAACGGATTTGCGTAATCCAATTTTTTGCAATTTCGCTATTTTATTCGCCTTTTACGAACAGGGTGCTCGGTGCTGTTCAATCAGCCGGTCCATTATATTAACTCCGAAAAGATGCAAATTTGATTTTGGTATTTTTAATCTTGTATATTTTAAACGGGTTTTTAGCTACGAATTTCGCTTCACATTCTTCAACCTCTGATATTTGCAAATGAGATGGAAATAAACCTAATTGGACATTTATTTTAATTTTAGCAACAACAGAATTGGGAAAATAATTGTATTAGATTATAGGTTCCGAACACCCATTATCGCAAACAGAAATACTTGCCTACAAATGTGTATACCATTAAAGTTAGTCCATAAAAAGTAATATTTCAACATGGCCAAGAATGTGAGCACTGCAACTACCATACTACCATTATTATAGGCCCAGTCAGCAGTGCGTCATCCGTTGACGGTGGCTTTAGTTTCCGAAGTCAGGCCATAAAATATACATAAACAGACGTCGGCGAAAGACAGGCCAAAGAGGAGCTCAGTGTACACACACAGATACTCCTGCACTCACACTGGCAAACAGAAAGCGAAACAATCGGCAAAGAAAAAAGAAAACTTAAACAAATAAAAAAGAAAAAATAAATGACCAAAGGTGCCCAGACCATGAGATACCCGATATTTTTTGACCTGATACTGAATATATTGAATATATTTATGAGCCTGCAAAGGATATTCTTATAAAATCACTCCTTCAGTTTAATAAGTGCAAGAAAGTAAAGATGAGATCTTATTCATTGAATGGAATATATAATATGTGAAAATCTACAGGCATTTTAAAGAAAATAAAACCCTTTTAATATGAAGTAATATTTTTCTGAAGAATGCTCCTTTAAATATTATTTAAAATAATTGATTTTTAAGCTTTATAAAAGTGTAGTACAAAGTTTTAAGATTTTGTAATATTTTAATCAGTATTTAAATTTAATTTTTAATATGTTAAATTATAATATTCTATTCACTTATAATTTATGTTTTATTTTTTTTTTTTTTTCAAAAGTTTTATTTAAGTTCCTTTTCTAGTTCAATATACCCTCTTACTAAAACAAGGGGTATTAAAAGAAATGAAAAGAGCAAAAGCAGAGGCAAAAACAAAGCTTAGTCAAAAGCAGCCAAAAAGGGGGCTCGACTGTGTTGGCTCAGTAAAATAGAGATAGAGAGAGAGAGGGAGAGAAATAATAACAGAGACAGAAAGAGACGGGGAGAGTGCAATGGAAAGAGAGGGAGGACGTCTTCTATGTACGTGACGGGGCTCACAATTTTATTTTTGAGGTCGCCCAGAGAGCGGTAGCGGTGGAATTCACTTAATGGCCATACTCGTAATTAACTTGGCCGATTCCGCGTAACCATTCATTGATTGACTTCGCCAGCTGCAAAGCCAAACAAAAATTGCGCTTTTATATAAGCGAAAACTATGCGAGAGTTGCTTTGATATTTCTTTGAATAGCCAGTAATAGAAAGAAAACTCATTAACCCAAACAAAAATCATTAAAAATGGTTCAATATCGTAAATCAAGTTTGTTTTCGTCATATCATCGCGACAAGAGCTTCTTGAGGAACTCTTTGTAATTTGAGATGAGTACACAAACGTGGCCATTTCAAGTCTTTTCTTTGGGTCATTCCACTTGGCTACCCTGAGTAAACTTGGCTGTCAGAGGCAGCAACAAATGTCACTGGCATGAATCTAGTCTTTCCTTTGTGAGCTCAAGCACTTGATCTATTTATGGGGTGACCCACAAGTTATTAGGAATAGGAAGCACCACAAGAAATTTAAATATTTTTAAAATATTTAATGAGGTAATGCCATAGAACATGAAGTTTATTTAAGAAAACATTTATTTTAAATGTTTCTCAATTTTGTATATTTTATTTTAAGGTTTTTAAATTTTTTCCCAGTGAAAGTAAATATTTCCAAAATCGATTCCAATGCGGGGGAACTTCTCTAAGACGTGTAAAAGCTTTGCCAGCTTTGAAAGAGTTTTACATTAGTCACGTCACATGGCAAACCATTAATCAGAGAGCTTTAAATGGATATCCTTTAAGATTCCTGAGCCCCATTCAGCTGCTCACACATTTCAACCTTTTCCTCGTGCCCTCAACAAAAGAAGGGAAAATGGAATTGCATTTACCCGGACAAAGCTATTAAGCGTTTCTGCAGGTCTGCAGATAAGACCTGGGTAATTACTAGGGGCGAGTGGAGGTGAAAGTCAGCGAGAAGGTCATGCCAAGTCCAACAAAGGCGACGAGAAATGCAAATGAAGCTGCAGACAATGCAGGAGGTTTATTAAGGGATTACTCAGCCCCCCGAAAAGAGATGAGAAATCGGGGCAAAGAAGGCAAAAGTCAGGGACAGTTCAGTGGGGCCAAGTCATGTCGTCATCTCGTCCCAAATTGCATTACTCACGCACCACTGGCAACGAACCAAGGATCGCCCACTCCAATTTCAGACTTCCAATGTGGGCGGTTTGGCAATATGGCCAACCGACTGACTGCCATATGCCAAAAGGGCCAGCCCAAATCGATAATTGCCTCTTTATTGTTTTGCCGGCTTTGAACTTGTGACTACTGTGCGTATGAGCAATGTCGAATGGCAGCACCACCCACTCACACCCAAACCAAGGTCACATGGGGCCTGTAACAGATAATGAAACGCCCCGACTGTGTTTTATTTTCACACTTGCTTTGCCCCAAAACAGTGCAAAATTCTCCGTCTGATATTTCCTATTTATAGCGCTCGGCTGTAGCTGACATAATTCGATAGCTGAATGAGCCAGTAATTAATGGCAATTTGTGCGTGGTCGCTATTATGCGATTATGCTTAAACCAATTAGTAATGATTTGTGTCATCCGGGTAATGGAAGAGGAAACAGAGGACTCTTGTCCTGGCGAGGCTTTCAACAGGAAAACAAATTTTTTATTTATTTATTTTAAAGTGTAATTAAATTTAATATTTGAGAGTCTGGAATATGAAATATAGGGAAATGTGAGAACATAAAATACGGGTAATGAAATTCATATTGGTTTATAATTATTAAATTATATCTTTGAAATTTACCTAACATATGAAATTGCTCACTATACCCTTTTTCTCCAAGTTAGCTAAGTAATTTAAGTTGCTCCCAAAAGAAGGCTACATATTTGTTTTCAGCTTGCCAAACAAATTGGTAATCCAAAACACCTTGTGCGCTCAAATTGCTATAACACCCGCATTAGCAACTTTTCTAGCTACCAAGCGTATTGTTAGTCAGTTGAGAAGTTTTGTCACCAAAGTTTATATTTATAGCCCCCCGTGCATTGTTGGTGGTCTTCCGGACCGAAACTTAGAGGCGAGTAAGACAAAAACTTTGAATTAAGTCAGCCAAAGTTGGGGGCTGTTAATTTCAGGCAGCAAAGTTGCGGGTACTTACTCGTCGAGCTCCTCCTCGGAAAGGGAGGTACTGTTTCCTGTGATCAGCAGCGACATCTTGCGGTGGGAACCTGCAAACAAAAAACGTGGTTGAGAGAAGAGTGAGAAATTAAAACGCAAATGGAATTTTAATAGCCGTAATGCCAATGTGCCAAGTGGCAGCATCTTTTGCAAAGGGCACGCTAAGCCCATTTAAATGCGTGCCACATTTGGGAGGCCTAAACAAGCTTTGCCGCAGGCTGGAAAAAGGGGGAAATACCAATGGAAAAGCAATACACAGAAAGAAATCTATTAAGGTTTTTAATCAAATATAATAAAAATATAAGGCTTAATTTTATCGAATAAATATCCAATTTTTACAGTTTTATTTCTTCACCGAAAGGACTTAAATATTCTTCTTTTTTATTCTATCCACATAAATTGAATCTATTTTTTTATGTGGACAGTGCACAGCGAAAAAGTGGAAAGCGCGCACAAAGCATTTTGACAGCTTTTAATTAAAAAACGTCAGGGAAACGTCACGTGCCAACATCAATGCGAGGGTTCTTGTGTGCTGGAACTTGTGGGAATATTCCGGGGCAGGAAGCATTGGAGTCCTTGAAATGTTTGCAGACCCAGCCGGACCAGCCGAATGTTTAAGCTTTTCATTTTTCGGGGCTTATCCGCTGGCACTTTTCGCATTATTTTGGCCCCCAAGATTGGACACGTTGGGCTAACAAAAAGTTATGCCAAAGTATCTTTCTGTGTTGGGTGTTTTTGTTGGGCGAAAGTTCAAGGCCAGCCACAATTAGCTTGACCAGGCAGCAGGAGCAGCCACTCAAAAGCGCCGGAGGAGTCCTCAATTTGTCCACTTTGTTTATCCTTGTCTTGCCAGCAATGTTTACTCGGCTGCTGGCTATGCCTTGAATTTGAAATTAGCAAAAAGGAAAACGGAGCAGAGCAGAAGGAACTGTTGCATACTTCTCGGCAATTTTCAGACTGAGTTGGGCATAATCAGAGGGATTATTTTAAGAGATTTATTGAAGGAGACTTGGGAAAACAATTATTAACAGGATATTGCAAAGGGATTTCCTGAGTTTACGTTTTAAAGTTTGCTCCCCCCAGCAACGATTCATCATCCCTCCTCCATTGACAACCTAGTTAATTCATCCACACTGCCTGTTGACCCATTAAAGTGGATTTAGCCTTGAAAGCGTTTGCTGAACCGTTCCCATGAACAACAAGAACAAGCTAACGAATGGTGCAAATGGCATAGGAGGGACTTGATGAAATAGGGGTAGAAATGGAGAGGGTTGATACAATTATTTAGTTCCCTCTTCTCCCAATGAACTTTTTTAATTATTTCAAGAGCCCTCTTTTTTTTTCAAACATCTGCTCGAAGACAGTGCAATATTCACATGAGCTGGTGTGTGTATCCTGCGACAGGAACACAGGATAGGACTAAGAATTTTTATATTGATTTTCTACACAGACAGCATTAACAGAGAAAGTTTTTCGTCTGAAGCAACATAGTTGGGAATATGTAGTTAAATGTTTTAGATTTTTTCCTTGGCCCCACCGACTTACGTAAAGTTTTCTGGGTGTTAGCCTTAATTTGCCTGATATGCACCGAATAAATAAAATCGAAGCACTATTATTTCACGTTGCTTTGTCACGTTATACTTGGGTATTTCGATTGCTGAATTGCTTTGTTTATCTGCAGGCACGTGAAGCAAACAGGAACGCTTTCTTCCCCTTTCTCCACACTCTCTCTCTTTTATATTTTCGATACAAAAGTACACGGCAGACGAACAGGAGAGCCAGACGACCAGAGCTGCGCGAGGTTTCAGAACCAACTGACTGAAGGGGAGTCCCACGAACCACAGTAGCGAAATGGTTCGACTCTACTCTCGCTCGAAATTCGCTCACTCTCTCGCTTTTCACTCGACTAAAGGAAGGCCTCGCAGACTCACTCGAATAGAAAAACTCGGTCCAGGGGTTATTTAATTATATGGCCAGAGCTAAGCAAGCAAAGCCAATAAAAAGTGTTTACAATTCTCCTCCGAAAATCTCACTCACTTTCTATGCAACAGCTGCTGCGCAGACCATTCTACACGCGCCATCCATTCGGCCGTCTCTTAATTACTGGGTCTGCAGGACTCATGAGTCGACCATTAAAGTTGTATTTAATTATTTTTTAATGTGCACTTAAAAACCTTTGAGGTGTTGAAAAATTGAATAACAAGTTGCACGCTGTCGTATACTCAATCTTTGTAGTTAGGGGGTGGACGTTGCGCATACGCCATGTATGTCACCTCATAACTGCGGTCTTGGGCAAAGAAAAAAATAACTCGGTATTTGTTTATTCATTTTATTCCGTTTTATGAGGGTCGTAAAGCGTTTGCCATTCAAGCGGATTGAGGATTTTATTGAGCACAAAAATGTAAGGGATTTTTCGCAATGGATATTTGCTGCTTGAAGTGGAAGTCTTGAATAAATTAGAATTGAAGGATAAACAAAATCTATTAAACAGGTCAAAACAGAGGGAATAATGTATACTTTTTTGTATTTATATGAATGAAAACTAGTGTGTATACTTCTCTTTTTAGCCTAACAAATCCGTGGATAATTATTTTTAGGTGTTTACCAAAAATACTATTTGTTTATGATCGGATTTTCAGAAGCAATATTATTTCAATGCCAAGGAATGTAGAACAACAAGCCAATGAATTTCTGTAAATTTTCCCTTCAGATGAGATCACATCTGACCGTTGGTTTTAATTAAGTTTAATCAATAGGCGGTTTGACTTTAACTTGACATTGGCATTCAAATAAATTTTCCCCTGTTCTCTATTGCTTAATTTCCTAGCTTTTACATACAGGCATATACAGATATATACATTTATACAAACATCCATGCCCCAAAACATCGCCATGCTTGACTGCGGCCCAGACGGAGATAATAAGTCCAACATGACACGACACCGACATGGGCAGTAAATTCGAATTACGAATTACGTTGGGCGGAACAGGCCCTCCCCCTTTTTTTTATTCAGGAAAGAGGAAAAGTCGTCGATGGAGGCAGTAAAACGGTGACTAAACTGTTCGCTTTGATGAATTTTCGACAATCTACTTACTCAAGTGACAAGAAAGAAATCTTCATAGCCATGGCCTGAAATTTCCATTTCGCTGCATAATAATAATAATCATTACTTTGCGCCGGGAATCGCATCGTTTTTATATATCTCATGGGGCACGCAATCGACAAGACATTGCTCATACGCAACGTTGGATCAACAGTTGAGAACCCAGCATATGGAGGATTAAGGGATAAAGGAAGGGCCCAGCCATTAGGAATTTTAATATCAGACGCGTGTCAGTGAAAAGCACACTACAAAAATAAAGGGGAAAAGGGTCAATAACATTTAATTTAATCAAGGGGCTTGGCAGATGATATACCTTATAATTTAATCAACTTTTAAATGACTAAACCCATTTTTAAGCTTTATTTGGAAGTAAAAAATGTAAGGATTGAAAGTAATATATTATTTACTACCCTTAAACGATTTATGTTTGATTTAAAATCCCAGCTTTTCCAACACACCCACAAAAGAATTGTGTGTTTACTTGTTAAATCGATATTTTATTTCTAGTGTGCATTATTATTTATTCAATGGCCCCTGCAGGATAGGATATCTCGCACAAGCACCTAGCACACAGACGCTCATTTCGTTGATCTATTTGACAAATAAATACTGATGTTTTCCCCCGCCTCGTTGACACGACACTTTGGAGGAATTTTCCATTTCCATTTTCTTGTGACGAAGGCGCATCTGTTGTTGACCATTTCCGCTGCGAGTGTCAACAAGGCCTACTGAGAAACGGTCACAAGGATGTTTTCCTGAGGTTGGGCGGCGGGAACTTGCGGCTGGGGTAAGCCCGGCATCCAGGATACCACCACGCCCACATTCCACCACGCAAAAGCGGAAACGTGGCCCCCTGGATATTCCCGCCCCCAAAACTGAGTCCACGTTTCGTTACGTAAGCGACCAGCTCTCTTTGGCCGCCCCACTTTTCCACTCTCTTTTCGGGAGAACAATATTTTCTGCATCGCAGTGCGTTGAACTTGGCCCAATTCGTCGCAGCTTTGAGTGAGAATTTTCCTAGGCCAGATTCTCGTTTGAGCCGCGTTATGGGGCCACCCTACACTCATAAAAAAAAATCGAAGAATTTCCTTAAAATCTAGAAAATTCTTTCTTGAATTTTTGCCAAAGGCGACCTCACCTTTATTTCAAGAAATGGTTTTTTTGAAAGGCACCATTAAAACAAGAAAAAATATTTCTTGTTTTAAGAAATTTATTTTTTCTTGTTTTTATGGTGGCTTTCTAAAAAACCCTTTCTTAATTTAATTTCTTAAAACAAGAAAGGGTTTTTTAGAAAGCCACCATAAAAACAAGAAAAAATATTTCTTAAAACAAGAAAGGCGATTCTTGTTTCAAAGGTGGTTTGTTTCTTGTTTCAAGAAATGAAATTTCTTAAAACAAGAAAGGGTTTTTTAGAAAGGCACCTTTTAAACAAGAAAAATTCTTTCTTGTTTAAATTTCCTATCAAGAAATTTTATTTCTTGATTTAAGAAATAATATTTCTTGAAAGGAAGTTTTATATTAACACTGAAACCCTAAAAATAAAATGTAACTTGGTTTTTTCTTTTGCATATTATATTTATATACATTTAAAACATTTAACACTTAACATTTAAACATTTTTAAATAACACATTTTTGACTCAAGAAAACATTGTAAAAACATTGTACCCAAGGTCTGTTGAACTCCATATGACCTAAGGTGATCCATTTTCTTCGCCTTTCCTCATCTAGAAAAAAAGAGTTATTGGGATATCAATGATTTGTTTTTAGATAAACAACTTTTTTGAAATAATGTAATGTTAATAATAGCCAAAATACAAACACGTTGGACAGACGACCGAGAGAGAGAGGAGCAAGACAGGTAGAAAATGAAGGGTTGAAAATCGAATTTCAGAGAGAGAGAGGCACATACCCAGCGGCGAAAATTGCCATTACAAAATGGATTACGAATGCATTACTTCTCCTCTCGTAATAGAGAAACAATGGATTACAACATGGATTACTTTGCCATAGGCATGGCCGCCTTGTAATGTGGTCGGGAGACAATTTGCATTACTAGTAATGGGAAAAGTATGCTAGGGCCGAATCACCTTCGGGTCTCCATTACGAATTCAATATACTTTTCCGAAATTGTAATGCAAAATGTAGACGGACTAGAGAAAATTCAACATACAATTTGAAAAACGTATGCTGAGTTGTAATGCATGTTCATTTATGAAAACAAAAAATATTCTTTCCTCATGTAGGAATTGAACATGGGTATTATTGTATAATGGATGGAAAGGCTAACCGCTCGGCCATTGTCTGTGCTTTTTTTAGTTCGTCAAACTATATTTAGAATGCATGCTGTTATTATTAAAGTTCCGAAGATCAAACGTGAGGGAGGGGAAACGAAAAACGAACACATAGACAATAATTTTTATGTGTGTTTGTGATTTTTGACGAAGGGAAATCGTTAGCGAACGAAAAAACGAAGTCATAGGAGCCCTGATTACAACTTCTCTAACGAAAAGCAGCGATAGTAATCGGTTACATTTTCTTTACATGTAATGCATTTTTTCTCCAGACCCCATTCGCCTGTTCGCCGCTGGGTACAGTCAGTATTTACATACAGTCCTTTGCGCGAAGGGAGACCGAATGTAAGCAGGGCAGATCGTGTCAGTTTTAAGAAGGTGAAGAGAGAAACGTCGCGACGCGTAGGTCAAGCGAGCGAGAGAGAGGAGCAGAATATGAAAGGGTTGAAAATCGGGTTTCAGATCGGGTGAGCCGCGTACATGCATAGATATTTACATGCATACATAAGTATGTCAAACAAATACAACATATTTTTCTTACCTTAGAAGGTTTTAAAACAAAATTACAGCTTCGACAAACAAATTATTTGGCTGATGCAACTGCAGGTATTTTCACTCTGAAAAATAAATAAAATGCGAGTAATAAGATAAAGTTATTATAGAACTGTACACCCACAAATTTATGTACAAATGTATGTATGTACGTAGCTCTTAGCTAAAAAACAATTCACCTAAATTGGTATACGCTTGGTAAAGAGATTTGAAATGTATCCTTTATTTACATACATACAATTGTACTCCCGCTATACAAAAAATTATATACATATCTACATACCTTTGAATATTCGGAAAAAGGCTTCACCTCTTATCCGCTTGAAAATCACGTCCATCACTCACGAATTTTTTTCACAACTGACGCTCGGGGGATCAGAGAAGTCGGTAGCCGGGTAGTAGTCGGGCCGAGTAGGCCCTTCGTCCCACTTCGTTTTTCTTGTCGTTAACATTCGGCAGCCGAAGGAAGTCAATGGCTACTTTCCTATATTCTAGGGTCATTTCATTCATATATTCAAAGGTGATTTTGTCCTTAAATACGTACAAAAATGTTTTGGCTGCGACGGCTAAACAAACATATGAGATTTTCATTTTTCTATTTTTAAGAAAAATTCTTTCTTGAATTTTTTCCATCAAGAAAGGTTTTCTGTATTCAAAGGCCAATTTTCTAATTACAAGAATTTTTCTTTCTATTTTCAAAGGTAGGCCGATTCAATGGCGAGATTTCCAAAATTTAGAAATTAATTTTTATGAGTGTACCAGCTCACTCAATGGGCCCGCCCCTTTCTCCTGCCCAAGGGAGGCGTCAAAATAAGTGCTAGCGTTAATCTTCTCCCGCGCTTATGATGATTATGGTGTTTGGGCACGACGGGCACTGTGGTTATGGAACGTTAGAAATATAGGAAATTAGAAATAAAGCAAAAAAAAATTTAATTTAAAAATTTAACTACTAACCAACGTATGTCAAAAATAAAAAATACATATAATGAAAATTTTATTTAAAAAGTAAATATTCAGATAAGGATTCAGATTTAAAGGTCCTAAAAAAATTAAAAACATAGTATATAACAAATATTTTATACAGGGAATCTTAAATTAAATACCTACAACAGAAAAATGTCTGGTTTCATATTACATAAATTTTAAATTACAATTTTGAACTGTTCTAAAATCAATATCTTCCTTATACCTTAAACCCTCACTTATTCCACCGTCCGCCACCTTTTCCGGCCAGCCAGGATGACTGTGGTAAGCCGAGACACTTCGCTAGTGATATCCCAGACCGCAAAATCCCACGAGGGTGTGTCGCTCATTAATTGGGTTTGGGGAAATGCGGGAAATGAAACTCAAAACTTGGTTTCGCTTGTTTGCTTTTGTTGTTTAAAGATCATATTTACTTCAATCACAGCACAGAATACAGAGAATATTATCTAATGGTTTATTTGTCGCTCGAAAAGAAACTGCAAAGGAAACTGCAGGGAAAACTATTTCCTTGTGAGTGTGATGTGTGCGAAGAACGGGGAAGAAGCGTGTTGTTGGGTGTGATGTGTTTGTTTTTGTTCTTGGTGGCTTTTTGCGGGGCGTGAAAGTCGAGAAGGAAAAGCTGCAGAGAAAGTCGAGCAAGTGCGGAAAAGGAGTGAAAAATTCGAAGAAGCAGTTCTCTTATGTGTAGGTTGTTCTATCCATATAGACTTGTATAATTGTTGACATGTATGCTTAGAGGGTTACTCTTTTTTTTTTGTTATTTTGTGGGCTTTTTTCTCGCTAGTTTAAAGTTTAACACACAACTAACATTTAGAGTATTGTTTATACGCCTCAAGGGGCAATAATGCAATTACGTTTGTATATAGGTTGATGTATACTTATTACGTTGCTAGTTACAATTGTTGACTTGGTTGTTAGTTCTACATTAAGATCAGGTTGTTGAAATGTTTGTCTCGTAGTGGTACAGTAGTTTAAAGTCGAGTCCCGTCGAGTCGTTCATGATTGTTGCGAGTTGCAAAGAAAGGCATTAAGAGCTAACTAATGTGATTCGAATAGTTGAACTTAAATTACAATATTACATCTAAGCATAATCTCAATGGAGGTTTAAGAATTAAATAACTGTGAAATTAAAGCCAATCGAATGGTAAAATAAGAATATTCTAATGAAGCAGCAGTGTTGAGCACATGTATTACTTCTTCTCCGGAGCGTAATCTCTTGTTCGAGTTTGGATTCGATTCTCGCTAGGAAACGCGATTGTAAAAATAAGAATTCAGCCTTCGTCCCTTTGACTAAAATGTTTCACTTCCATTTTGTAGTTTCTTCAGCCCCTTCAATATAGATAATCGTGCGGAAAGACGGCGCGGGCGGGCAGATAGCAGGGATCGTGTTGATTGCGGTAGCGACGCGCCAGAAAAACGGCCAATACCTGTGGTAAAAATAAAGCCAATTAAATACTGCTCAGATGATATTCAATTTTAAGAAATTTATAAATAAAAAGAAACTCAAGGTGCAATAACTTTTGAACATGTCTCACCCTTGGCCACTTGTTGGATTTATGCTTAGTCAAAGAGCAGGCAGTCTAAAGTACAATTTAAACGATTTTTTGATTGGGAAGTTTTAAAGGAAGTGTGTTGAGAGTAAGAGGAAATATGTTTCTTTGCTGATTGCTTGCTTTCGGGTTCGTAAATGGGTTAAACGCGTAGCTCTCTCCCTTTATATATATCTCTCTATAATATGTATATATGTCTAAAGTTGTATATCAATTACGACCTAACACATTACGTACATAGTTCTGCGGCAATGTGATTAAATATATATGTATATATGTATCTGTAGATGGTATAAATATAAAGGATGCTTGTATATATATGGTATGTGGGCCCCTTTGGAGCTCATGAAATCGTCCATCCAGCAACACCAAACATTTAGCAGAGACAGAGCAGAGATACATGCACTAAATAACTTTTTGGATGTTTTTCTGTATCTGGAAAATGTTTTTCTTGTTCTCTCGACTAGCGTGCAATTTAGAGAAAAGCGCTGGGCAAGCCTCGCGGATCCTTTTGATTGCGATAGCGAACTGTTAGCCAGACGCCAACGAACTTAAGGCAGCATGTGGGAGTTTGTTGAGAAATTTAGATTACTTTCACCATAAGATAATTTTCTAAAATAAGCCATACCTCAGTGAAGCTGAAGAAGATGCCCAGGCCGCCGCACAACTTGAAGGCGTAGTCGATCTTGTCCTCCAGCAGGGGTCCGCAGGGTTCGCAGCGACAGTCCGGCTCGGTGGAGTGGGCACAGCACTGCTGGTTGATCAGCTCGCACGAGGGCTCCTCCGGCGGCGGCACCACGCTAGATGTGCTCGGTCCAGTGGCATTGAATCCGCAGCATTTCAGACTATCCTGCACCTGTTTGCGCAAATCCGTAGGCACCGTCATCCATCCCTGCTCGGCGAACTGCTGCTGCTGCTCGGAATTGACGGCCAAACAGGAACTGGCAATGGAGAACTGGATCAGGAACAGCATGAAAAGAATGATCATGTACTGCGGAGGGTAGAGTCTAAAGGTTAAGGCTAAACCGGTGGAAGTGCGTAGGAAATATTATACATTTGCTTTTCCACTGGGGGTCACGTAACGATACCCCCCAGCTGACGTCATGGAAACACAACAGCTACAGCTACAGCTAAAGCCACTGGGCCCACTCATAATTTCAGTCATTACGGGCCCGCTTTCTCTTCGGAAGTGGGTACTTGTCTAAGTACGCTAATTGTTCCACATGCCACGACCTTCGTGGCTGCCCCACAGTTGCGGTCGGAATAATAGCAGTGATAGATATGACTGAAATATGCAGTGTTTCTGTGTTACGTTCTTAAAGTCCTACAGCTCTTGAATTTTAGTTGATTAAAAAAAAGCTCTCGTATATCATTTCTTATCTTGACTCAACTATTCCTGACAATTATGATAGATTTCAAAAACTAATTCTTTAGATAAATATTTTAATTTCTAAACAAATTATTGTAAATGATTGAAAAACAATTCAAGGAATTAATAACATTGATGTTTCATTTTTAAAAAATAATTTAAAAATATAAAATATCAAAATATCAAAGTTGAAAAAATATAGCTCGACCACGTAAAACAGAATCAGTTCTTAAAGTATGGCCTTTTTCTAGAAGAAATATAATTTCATCATTATTTGATAAGAAACTGCGTAACCTTATAATTTTTTTGAACTCACAGAAACATTTCTGCCTCTAAATCTCTAGAGATCTGGGATAAGAATTATTTCAGCTCATAAGAAACTAGTAAACTCTAATTCTAGGCCAACACAAACTAGTAAACTCTAGTTCTAGCTCGACAGAAACTAGTAAACCTGTCTGTTTGCGAATTTATAGGTTTTGTGGCAAAAGGATACGAAGAAGAGCATCACTTGGTGGTGCTTGACGGCTCCTGCCAGTCCCAGCATGGATATGCAGATGAGGATGACGCCGCAGGCCAGGATCCCGCCCACAATCGGCAGGTTGGTCACGATGGAGGCGGCACGCGCGTACACGCCCACTCCAATCAGCAGGAATCCAATCATCTGGGGGTCACCACCACAGGCACACACAAGAGCACACATACGGAGAAGAAGGAAAGAAAGAATGGAGGCAAATGAAAAAAGGACTCAAGGATTCTCGTCTCGAAAGCAGCAACAACAAATATGTATACACACAAACACATGCAGGATATTGCACCTGCCGCAGGAAAATCAATACATATTTATAGACCCAAATAATGAGCCAATTTAATAAACAATATTTTGTTTTACTCATTGTTGTTGCTGCCGTTTACTCATTGTTCCTCTTCCGTGTTTGTTGTTTCTGCTTTTTGCGTTTTTCCCAATCGTTGTTGTTATTATTATGTTTTTTGTTGTTGGCTTACCACATACAAAATGTTGAGCGCAATTAGCGCGTTTTTCGAGCAGGTGAAACCGCCGCACATGTTTATTGGTTTGTTTAGTGTTTCTGGCTGCTAAGAATGGTGTATTTAAACGAGTTTAAACAAGCTAATTTAATTTATTCCGTACAGAAGTTTTCACTTTCAATATTGCTATCGATGGTTCAGGAACCAAATCGATTAGTATTGGTTCACTGCTATCGAAATATGTGATTTGAATTGGCAACTTAAATTTAAAATAGTGGTATAAAAACAAAATATTCCCTTAAAATATATATTTAACTAACCAAAATTATTTAAAAAAATGTAAATTAGGTACTATCGCTTGTCCTGGTAAAACAGCTGTTGTGTTGCAAGATGTGAAAAGAACGAAAATATGAGTACTATCGATAAGATATTTTCAGGTCTTTGGCGCCAAATATTCACGGTACTTCATAATTCAAAAAAATTTTAAGTTTTTATTGAAATTGAGCTAAATTATTATGTGGTAACATATAACATACTTAGAAACAATTTTATTTTAAAGAAAACCTTAGAGTCAAGTCACTTTGAATGAGAATCAACAGGAAACCAGTTACGGCCGAGAAAACCTTATTGACCAAGGAAGTGTTGAGCTCCAGAAGACCCAGCGGCATTAGTTTCCAGTCAATGGCGACGACCTGCAGCCAAAAAGCATTCACCACTTGCTTGAATCGGGAATCGGCATGCTGGAGATCGAATCGTTGCAAGAGGTCCCCAGTTCTCCTGGTCTGTAATTATCCAGAACTTTATAGAATATTTAAGTTTACAAATGAGCAATACCTCCAGTAGCGTTTGATTACTAATCCGAGCCACCATTACGAGTTCCAGGAAGGGGACAGCCAGAAAAACCAATAGAACTATGGCCAGAAAAAGATCAAAGGGTTCCTCGTTGATGTAGTAATCCGCAATGGCCAAGTACTGATTGTAGAATCCCATGGTGATGCCGATAAGATTCATCAGCATCGAGAGAACCATGGACCAGTCCGTGAATCTAAGGTAATTTCTCGAGCAGCCTGCAGTGAGGCTATATTTCTCGGCCAACTCATCCAGACAATCGGCTAATTCACAAAAACGACGCATTCGGTAATAGGGTTTTTGAAGATTCATCTGGACAGGGGACTGCAGCATATTCGCCTCCTTTACAATGCCGTGTAACTTGTTATTAACAGCGGCCACTATCAGATTTGCAATTACCAGGCCTCCAAAGAAGCAGTTATTTATCTGATTCGATACTATAAGTGGCAGCATGGTCCTTGCGGTAGCCAAACTCGTCCACTGAAGATCCGGCTGGATTCTCCTCTGGTAAAGGGTCAAGGTTGTGTACCCAATAAGTGGGCAAATAAGGATCTTGAGTACGCTATAGATAAAGGCCCGCCACACAATCATCGCCGATATGTCCAGTGAATCTAGGACCTTAAATAAAGGAACACTATTCTGAAACCGGATTATCTGCAATGTTTTCTCCCATTGTGTCACATAGTTGAATAGACAAACGAGAACGTTCATATAGCAATATATTCCAATTGTGTGCCTTCCGCCGATCTGACCCGTAGAAATTTCTCTATAAATGTTCCAGACGTAGCATATTCCAAAAATCGATGCCACAATAAAACCGTAGATAGTAACTCCTTTGGAAAACACAAACTTTTTGCGCCTGAAGGAAAAGCGACCGAGATAGACTCCGTATAGAATATTTAGAAACACGGTGGAGTAGACGCAAATCATAACCAATTTTGTATGGAGTTTCCAACAACGGTATCGGGCAGGCAGAAATCGCTGCCAGGTGGAGCGAAATCGACGAGTTTGCCTTCGAAGGAACCGCATTGCACTGAATGGGGGATGAACCAAAACCCGTCATTTAGGTTAAATTGCCGTTTAATTACTAAGCCTCTTTATCACCGATTAAATAATAAATTTCTTAAATGAATCAGGGTAATGCCTAATTATGACTACATTAGAGGAATAGCAACAGGTGTTTTGGAAAAAGACTACTACTTATTACAATTTTGCTATGATCAGATTCAAATGTGTTTAAAATATCTACTAAATAAAATAAACGTTGGTTCATTCACGAAATAACACCGCTTTTAATAAACTTAAAAAAAATATTTTTAATATTACAAAAATTTTTTTCTGCATGCTGTTTAAGTTTAAAATGTGAATAAGTAATTTTAAACAATTTTGTATATTTTTTATAAAAACAAATGGTTTAAGCCCAAAGTTAAAAAAAAAAATAAAAAAGGTTCCTCTAAATTATCTCTAGTTTTAAAAAAGCGGTCGACAATCCGATAAAGTGAGTTCAAAAAATTCCAAAAATAAATCAATAAAATTTTTTAATCCTTAATTTAACGAACAGGTGCTGCATAAACGGTTCATTTGCCCCCGCGAACTGGTTCCGCCTTGTCAATGCGAACCAGTCAGCACTGTGGCGAGCGGAACCACAGTGGTGAACTGAACTTTAACGGAACTGGAGACGCGACGCAAATGGAAAAGAAAACATAAACGCTGAAAGCTGGAAAAATGCGCTGTAAATCGCCAGCCGTTGGATTGCAAGTGCAAAAGCGCGTTGCCGAGTGTGCCCGTGAATAAATCGCAATGAAATAGGGTCGGGAAACGGCGGAAAACAGCAGCGAAAAGCGAGAGAAGCCAGCTCCAGTCCCCCGCACCACCGCCCACCCCCCTCCACCCGACGAGCAACGTCAGCGGGCGAAAGAGCGGGCGTGTTGCTATTGCTATTGCTAAATAATTTCTCCGGGGCGCTCCGCTGGACAAAAAGTGATTTTTTTTGCCTCCGCTGGCGTGCGCGTATAAATAAATAGCTGAAAAAAGCCAGAGAAAATCTAAGGCAACAAAATCAGGCAGAGAAAATAAATCGGTGGAAAAAATCAGAAAAAATCAGCAAATAGAAAGTGTATACCGCCTGCACTTGTGCCTCCGTGTGCGTGTGTGTGTGTGTGATGTGTGTTTGTGTGCGGGGCAGAGAACTCAAGGTGCAAAATGTTTACAAAAAAATCGCATGCCGACGTGAAGAAGTCCACGGCCAAATTGCAGGATTGCAAAAAGGATTCCGCTTCCAGATTGCGACACCTACGCATGATATTGGGTGAGTTCAAAGGGATAGTTTTTGTCTTTTTGTATCACCTGAAAGTAGTTTTCCCACTAACTTACATTGATACATAGGTTGAAATCACATCTAAACTCTAATTTTGGGGTTCCCTCAATAATAGGTTTTGTTACAGTAAGCATTTACAACACAGTTCAGAACTATATTTGAAATACACCCAAAAAAAGTTCTTAAATCTTGACTTTTAATAAAATATTCTTCGTTGAGTTGTTTTTAATGGTTTTATTTTTTATGTAATGTATTAAAAATACGTTCAATAATCTTCAAGCCAAAATATATTGTTCCAAAAATCGTTTTTTTCTGACCATTTACAGTTATAATGCCCCTTGAAACCAAGGTCCCGCGTTGGCGGTTCTGTTGGCTGTTAATTATTTCATAATTTATTTGCATTCATAGCAATAACAATGAAACTGGTTGGCTGTTTTTTATACATACTCATATATTTTTTTTGGTCTGGTGGGCGTCGTTCGCACCATTTTTGTTCCACGGTGGCTCGCTCTCAATGACGTTCTGCCCACAGTTCGCATAACAACAACAAAAAGTGGATCCACAATGTTGGCCATTTCCTGTTGGGCGCAAAAGAACCTCCACACATATACGATTGTACCCCACATAAACCCCACCAGTCTTCCAGTAAAAACATTAATTTATGCAAAAACGGAAAAAAAGATTACAGAAAAACATCTACACATGCTCCGCTATGTGGCAAGCGAAAATGTGTGAAACACGTTAAATGATAAAGAAGCGAACAAGTGGAGACACAGGCCAAATTCCCTAAGTCGGATTTTTCCAAGACTCACTTTACTTAATTTTAGTACCCTTACTCATTTTTATTTCCTTGCATTTTCGGAAAGAATCAATTTATTTGTTCTTGACTTATAGATAAACTTATTATATCTCATTAAAAAATGATGACTAGACTTAGCTTAAAAATGTCTGAATGAGTCAATTCCCACAGAAATAAATTTTGAAATAAAAATAAAGATTCTTACAATTTAACTGTAATGTGAAGTCAAAAAAAAAAGCAAATAAGTTTTTGTGTCTCCTCATAAGCAAACATTTTATGACTGATGATAAAAGTTTCCTGACTTCTCATTTTTTCTACGAATTATTATAAAATATTAAATTAATATTAAACACAATTTTGTTGAAGTCAAGTCATATTCTAATAAATATTTTTACAATAGGAATTTCTTAGAGTAATTTTCTAGTTCTTGTTACAGAATTTGGCCCGTATTGGCCAACATTGTACAGCAAGTACGGCTTTCGAGTACGAGCCGCCGATATGAGCAATCTCCCCACCTTCGCCACCTCTTTTCAGTGGCTTTCTTTTTGTGTCACTTTGCCGAACGATTTCCAACAGGTGCCTCCCGATACAAAAAATTACGAATACACCTGACTTGACACCCTCCGGTGCACTATTGTTGTTATTTCTTATTGTTGTTGCTGCTGCCCCCAGTTGCCATTGTCCCTTGGCAAATTACACGCATTAGACATTCTTCCCAATGGCTGCGTTCCAAATTGTTGTTTTTTAACCAGTTCATCAGCAAAAGTACAGCGAAAAAAGTTTTTAATTTTCTATACAAAAATGTACATATCTTTAATAGTATTTACAAGATAAATATTTTAGATATTTTTTTAACCACTTGTAGAATTTTGGAAAATTTGAAAATTTTTTTGCTAATAATATCATCATTATTACAAATGAATAAAATTCTAAATTTTAAAACCACTTAAGATCTCTTGTAATGAAATAGAAAATAGCGTAGTTTTCTTTTCTGTGCAATGGTAGACATCTTCGCTCTGCGTTTTGGCCTTCTACTGGAACCGGTTTCAAAGGTTTCTTACTCTGCTTTATCTCTTTGTTTAGCTTTCTTCTGTTTTGCAGTGTGTTTTGCTGATGACAGCAAGCCGGCAATGGCAGTGAACCCCACCCCCCAAGTTCCCCATTCCCCATACCCCATTCCCTAGTCTCCATCCCCACTGATTCATCACAAATCGCTGAGCACCCATCATAACGTGTTTTTTTCGTAACTCGACTTTTAATAGCTTTCTGGCCACCAGTTTCGTTTGTTGTTATTGTTATTGTGGATATCGTCATGCGTTCGTTTTTTATATAGATAAGTTTAAAAGACATCAACTGCCTGGATTGGATTTGCAGCCTTATCAATAGTGACATGCACAGGTGCTCGATTCGATGTTGCGTCACTATCTTGGTTGTTGCCCCCTGGCGCCATTTTCTTATCACTGATTTACAGAGCAATAACTATGGCTTCATTTTGGTAATATTTCAGTTTAATTAGTCTCTTATCTATGAATTCCGATGTAATTAAGACGGTATACCTAATTACAAAAAGCTACTAGGGGTATTTGTTGATGAAAACATTTCATTTCACTGTAGTATCGTACCAATATTGATAGAAAATATTTACCCAATATGCATTTCGTTATCCCAATTGCTGACCTATTTTAATATATATTTTTCAGATAATGTGGAGCTAGAAGAGTCGAAATCACTGTTCGAGACCAACTACAGTCATGTCTACTTTATTCTCTACGACACCTTTATTCAAGCCGAGGCGAATCTAAAGCAAAAAGGTAAATTAACTTACGCTGAGTTTAACCCAGTTATAAATATTTATTATCAACCGATAGCTGAGGTTTTTTATACCTCTGTCTTATTAATGTTTTCTTTGCTGTTTTATTTTGCCACTTAAAAAAGGTTGTGTGTTCTCTAAGGGAAACTGTAAAATAAATAAGATTCAATATATTTAATAGATGTTTATTTTTCAAGACCACGTAAATTGTAAATTCAAAGTTGGGAAAGAAGAGTATTTAAACTTCTCTTCCTCGTAGAATACCTTTTGTTTTTTTGACCCATTTAATTTTCGGTTAATTCGCTCGTATCTTTTGAGACCTGTTAAGTTCCACCAATTAAAAAAACCAACAGCGACGACATTAAATCTTTTGCCTGGTTTTCGTTAATCTTTATATGCTTCGTCCCGTTTTTGTAGAGATAGTTATATGTTATAAAAGAAAACAAACGAGATATTCTAAATTGAACTCCTCATCTATTTCTATTTTACCCCCGTTTTTCTCTCTCTATTTTTGTAAATCCCCTAACTGGCAGAACTTCCGTTTCACATTGGTAAGTTAATGTGGTTCCTTATTGACATCGACTTGACCATTTGACCACTGCATCCGCCTCCACTTCCTGCGACCTTGCTTTTGAACTCAGTTTACCATAACCTCATGCGTCTATGTTCCATGGTCTTTCTTCCTTCGCTTGAAATCTCTGAAATCTCTCCGAATGGCACCACATCTTTGCATCTTGTGCTTGTCCAGACATTTGCAATGCATCTTTAGAGCAAAAAAGGAAACTCCTATTTATTCTAGTATTTCTTTTACTTATAATATTTTTGTTTAATTTATTAAAACAGTTCACAAGGCGCATCGCGAGGAACTGGACGGTTCACTATGGCTGCTGGAGAAGATCTTATGCCTGCTGCCGGAGTTGTTGGCCCGCCGGTGGCAATGTCACTCCCTGAGTCGCATCATGGCCAAGCTGCTGCATCTGGGCAACTCGCCCAAGCTGAGAAGGGAAGGTGTGAGGTGAGTAGAGCCTTTAGTTTCGCTCTAAGAACTCTATTTAATAAGTTTACTCTCCATTTTCCAGATACTTCCTGCTGTGGTACCAGACGCTGGGCGAGAATGCCCCCGGCTATGTGCACGCCATGTATGCGGATCTCATCCCCGGCCTTATTGTTCCCCAAAAGGGAGTCATTGGTCCGGATACTGAGTTCAGTGCCTCGGACTTTCTCACCCATCCGAATATGAAAGCGGACGGGGGTATGGCCTCCGTTTTCCACGACAACGCCTTCTCGCATCCCGTGCAGAGTTCCGAGGTGGTGGCCCTGCTGCCTCCCTCGTCCAGCGAAAAGTCTGCGCCCCCCGATCCTCGGGATGGCCTGGAGGTTCTGCTGAACAGCATGGTCCACACGGCGGCCTGCTTGCGATGGCGGGATAATCGCGCCCAGAAGGATCACAAGGCATTCGCCTTCTTGCTGCAGCGCTTCATGGACGTTTTCCTGCCCGTCTTCTCGCCCAACTTCGATGTCAGCTGCTCCATCTACAATCCCCGCCTGGATCTGCCCGTCATGCGATCGATTAACAAGAAGGAGGAGGTGATGGCTTCGTGTGTGGTGGTCCTGATCAACTGGGTATCTCGATTCACCCACGAACGATTGTTGAGCCACCGCTTGGACTGCACGCTGCACATCGAGGACGTGGACCATGTGCGCCTGCAGGGCTATCAACAGGGACTCATCGTTCGGGATGTCTTCTACGTCAGTCGAGAGAACATAAACTTTGTGCACGAGGTTTATCGTCAGGCATTTCTGCTGAACTTTACCTCCAAGCCGCAAATAGAAGCAATTCGCACTGCGATCGCTGTGTACCGGGATTGGATGACGGGCGAGACTCCACCGCCTTTCCTGCTGGAGCCCAATGACGATCCGCCGCCTATTTCAACCGCAGGTGGAACCCCCAGGAGTCAGCGACTGCGCACGCCCTCGTACGTGGGTGCCATTGCGGGCTCCAAGGATCAGTTGGCAGTCAGGGCTGGACGGCAAAATGTGCTACAAGTAAACTAACTTTATCTTTCGCTTGGAATCTATTTTCTAATTCTTGCTATTTCCCCAGGTGTTTGTGACCAATGCGGCGAATGTGTTCCTGGTGAACACGGCCAATCTGAACATCTGCTTCCCCACGCGATCGAGAACTTATCGCTCTACGCCGCTGGAGGAGCAGACGGAGATCTGCAAGAAGGTGCTGAATGTGTACCGCACCATGGTGATGAACACGGAGATGGACTCGCGCACCTGGGAGCAACTGCTAATGGTGCTGCTGCAGGTCACCTCGGTGGTGCTGCACCAGAATCACCACACATTGCCAAGTGGGTCTAATAAGAGTGCCACTTTGGGCGGAATCCTGGGATCGGCTATATTCCAGACTCTCATTGTCACATGGATACGAGCGCACACCAAAGTCCCCGTCAACGTGCAGCTGTGGGAGAAATTCCTGAATGTCCTGCAATCTTTGACGCACCGCGAAGAGCTCATCGTTGAGTGGAACAAGACTATCCAGACACTGACTCGTGTCTTCTCCCGATACACCTATGGCATAAATCTCCTCGATTTACCCTTGGATCGAGTGGCGGAGAGTCGGGCGGAGAAACGTCGTCGCATCGGCAGCGTCTGGCAGGGATCAGGATCGGCAAGTGGTGCGAATGGAGGCAGTTCAGCTTCCGCTGCCATCAGCCAAAGCAGACAGCGCGAGTCGCTGGCGGAATCGAGTAGCAGTCGCTCGGAGGAGACCTCGTCGCAGGTGCCGCTGGCCAATCATCCGCGACCTCACCACCAGCACACGCAATCCCAGGGCGGTACTGGCCATGGATCGCGGCCCGTTCCCTTGACTCCCATGCTCAGTAGGAGCTACAGCGAAGGCAGCTTGGCTTCGGCGGCCAGGAGCTCGAGGATACGACGCCGTCGAGCGGCCACTCCGAAGCCCAAGGAGCTGCAGCAGCAGCCGCCGCAGATGGGAGAGCAGAATCGCTCGAATCCACAGGACCTGCGAAGAGCCATGTCCCTGGACTCACTGGCGAGGACAAAGGGCGAGGCAGAGGAGACGGACAGCTACCAGGAGGCGGACAACGAGAGTGGAGCGGGCTCAAGGAGTCCCTCGCCCACAGCGAGCAGTGGAATTGAAGGTGGATCTATCAAGGATGCGCAGTTGCAAATCGATGCCAGCTTGGATGATGCAAATTCCGGTAGCTACGGCAGCAATTCGGGAAGTGTTTCTGGACGTCGCTGCATTATTTTAGGAGGCTCGGCGGAGGGTTGGCATCCCGACTCCACCTCCATCATGTGGAAGCGCATGCTGGGCGCCCTGGGCGATGTCAATCGTATTCCCAAGGCGGAACTGCACGCCCAAGTTTTCATGCACCTGCTGGAGATGACGCAAAACCTGATCAAGATCAAGCAGAATCAGGGGATATCCGCGGATAATCAGAGCACGCCACCGCTCCCGACTTTAGTGCCACCCATTGGCATTGTGGCGCCCTGGTGCTACGGATCTCTTTCGCTGGATCGCTCCTTTAAAAAAGGCAAACTGTGGGCCCTGCAATTGATATGCTCCCTTGCGATTCACGGAGCCGTGGGCATGCAGCAGCTGCCCCTGTTTTATCATGCTCTCCATCAGCTGCTTACCGGCGAGGATCGGGACTTGATTTATGCCATTCTCAAGCACTTGGAGGGTCCTAGGTTGCTGAGTTTGCTGCTGCCGGGACACACTTTACTCCTGCTCGACTTGGTGCATGCGAGTGCTATACTGTTGACTTCTTTAGAGGTCTCAAGAAGCACTCCTCGAGCCGAAGTGGCCGCCCTTTTGGGCTCACTGCTTTGCTATCCGTCCTCCCTGCTGCCACGCCCCGTGCTGCAGCCGTCGCCGCAAAAGTTTGAGCTTATGGAGTGTCCGGACCTGCAGGATCACATCCTGAACATAGTGCTCAGATGCGCCAGGCGGGAACCCTCAGCCAAGGCGCGATGCATTGCTTTGTCCCAACTGGGCCAGTGGCTCCTGATGCGTCTCTCGCAACCGGTTTCATCGTCCTCCGGAAGGGGAAACCTCTTTCAGCAGGCGGTGCCGCATCACAAAGACGTGCATCCCAAGGAGACGCAAGTCTACAATCCGCGGATTAAAGAAGTGCTGCAGGTACTCCTCCAGGCGCTGCAGTTCAAGCATCATACGATTGCCATGGTGGCTGTGGATTCACTAAAGCTGTGCGCCGAACGTGGACGGCAACTGGCGGCCATTGAGAGGGTTCCCCAGCTAATCATCACAGCCATTTGCAAGGCTTTGGAAATTCAGAACGTAACGAAGCCCAAGGATTCGGACAAGGTGGTTCTCACTTCGCTGATGCTCTGCCTGGGTGAATTCTGCATGGCTATTCCAGCCGCCATTATGCTGGCTCCGTTCAACGAACAGGGAGATACTCTAGTGCTGCAGGTTCTCCGGGTTCTCCTGCAAGTTGCCTCGGGAGCTCCACGCCACGAGAGGGTGAAACTAACGGCCGACGATGATTTCGACATGCACATCGCACACGACGACCTTCAGGGAGACGGACGCCTGCCGGAGGCAACCTATCAGACATCCGAGACCATCCAGAAGTGCATCACAGCCATTAAGTTGTGCGCGAAGGCGGTGTCCATGCATCTGGTGACCCACGTGGGTCACTTTCCCATGGGAATCGGCGCATCTCGCTTGAGTTCCATGGTCGAGGAGCAGGATGACATTGGCAACGCCGCCTACGGTGGTCAGGTGGAGACGCGACGCGACTCTGTGGAGCTGCCCTCGGTGGTTAGTGCCCAGAATATGCAGCTGTTTATGCTAAACTCCGGTCTGGTGGCCAGTTTCATTGAGCTGCCCACGCTGAAGCTGCCCGGCGGAGGAATAACAGCCGGTTTGGTCACCGCGGAGAAGCAAGTTAGGGTCCTGATGCGGGATCTCAACGGGAAGGCCTGCTGGGATGCCTCCATATTGTACTCGGAACCGCGAAAGGCGGAGGAAGCTGCTCCAAAAACCACACCAAAGATTCATCAACCGCTGGATTCCATGGTGTCCTCCATGGTGTCGCACGATTTGCCTCGTCACACTTTGCGTCACCGTCCGGCGGGCGTGCTGCCGCTGGCCAAGGATATGGCCCCGGATCTGGATCAACTGGACGATATGCTGGCCTACATTGGTCACACCAGTCCAGAGTGTGTGGCTCCCACTGTTAGCCAGCTGAATGCCCCGAGTGCCAGTCCGCTGAGTGGAAATCAGGAGGCGCAGGCCATTTCGGTGATACTAAATCAACGCCTGTTGGAGCAGGAATTCGTGACCCACTCGGCGCAGGCTCCTTCGCCTGCCCTGCGACACGCCAGCTCCAGTTCCTCGTTGCAGCAGCCGGATCAGAGGAGCTTGCACTCCGCCACACCCTCCTTTGATTCCCTGCCCACCCGCACCGAGATGCCCTTCCAGTATTGCCGGCTGCTCTTCTCCCATTTGGGTCTTGCCGGTTGGGAGCGACGGTCCAGGACGCACTTGCTCCAGCGCAGTGAGAAACTTATGCGGGAGTTGCGAAATGTGGATCTGCAAAAGTGCCGCGAAACCCACAAGATGGCGGTGATTTATGTGGCCGCCGGACAGGAGGATAAGGGAAGCATCCTGAGGAATACGAGTGGCAGCAGCACCTACGAGATGTTCGTCTCCGCTTTGGGTTGGGAGATCGATCTGGAGACGCACAATGGTTTCCTGGGCGGACTGCCGCGTCAGGGATGCGGAGCAACAGCTCCCTACTATGCTACACCCTTTCTGGAGGTGGTCTACCATGTGGCCACCCGAATGCCGTCGGACTCCTCGGAGGCCATGCTGCTGAAGACGCGCCATCTGGGCAACGACGAGGTTCACATCGTGTGGAGCGAACACCATCGGGATTACAGACGCGACATTCTGCCCACCGAGTTTTGCGATGTGTTGATTGTGGTCTATCCGCTGCGAAATGGCTTGTTCCGGGTGACTGTGAACAGGAAGCCGGAGGTTCCATGGTTTGGCCCGCTGGCCAACGAGAGCGTTGTGAGTGGCGCCTGCCTGGCCACCCTGATCCGGGCCACTGCCATCAATGCCAGTCGAACGAAGCGCGCCGCCTTGCCGCTCTACCAACAATTGTAAGTAGTTCGGAAATAGTGATCTTTGGACATTAAATAGATTTTAATTATGACCCTTAGCTACGAGGAGCGCAACAGGTCGTTGGATAGCGTATCTTCACGCTACAAGGAGAGCACCACCTTTGAGGACTTTGCCAGCCGCATCTACAATCCCATGCCGCTGTCCACGTTGGGCACTCTTAGGGAATCCAATGCCAGCAGTTCGGCAGCTCCACTTGCTTCGGCTCTGCTCGATCACAATCGTGCCTCCGTCAAAGGTGAGTCTGCTGCTGGGTTCGGAAAATAAGACACTCTGTAAAAAACTTGTGTTATTAACATGTTAAATAACAAAGTGTTAGGTTCAAAAAAAGTGATTGATTACACACATGTCAAAAAATTGTAGCTTACATATGTTAGAAACATAAATAACACACACAGGTTATTTTTGATATTTAAACAACGTGTTATCAACACGACGTGTTTTTTACACTACGTGTTTTTAACACAATGAGTTTTTGACAATAAAACGTCAGAAATATATGTTGAACTGAAAAATTCCCGGTTTTCTGTAGTTTAAAAAGTTCATATATGCTTTGAAACGGTTAAAAATAGGAATTAAGATATTCTGGTAATTTTCATTTGTGTTAAAAACACAGTGTGTAAAAAACAAGTTGTGTTAATAACACATTGTGTAAAAAACACAAGTGAGCTGTGTGTGCTTACAATTATTTTTCACATTTTAACACTTTTATTTTTGACACATATGTCCAAAACTTTGCTCACATTGTAAAATACAATTGTACTTGTTTCTAACATGTGTGTTAAATTCCGAACCCTGGTTTGCTGTCAGGGAATTAGTAAACAAATATTAATATTATATCCCCCTTTTCAGGTTGGGTACAAGCCTCGATTGACTCGGGTCCCATTATGGGCATAGCGCCTTCGGCCTCCGCTGGATCTACCGCAGCCATGGAGGCAGCCACCGGAATGGCCTCCGCCTCGCCGCGTGGCCCTCGAAAACTGGGTGCTCCCTTCAAGAGCGTGACCAAGAAGCACTCGCTGCAGCAGATCGTCATCGGAGGAGGAGCAGGCGGTGATACGCCGCCCGAGAGTCCGACTTTGCCGCAGCGCCGCTTCAAATAATACTTGACCCTTTCCTCCGATTCCCGGCACCATCTGCACCCTGCATTCCCTTCCCCACCAATCGGGCCGAGGGCCAAGCCAGGCCCGAAAAGATGCAGAGAGAGTTCTAATGCAAACGAATAGTATTGCGAAACACGTTTCCTCCTACTTTAGTTATTGTAATTTATTTCAGTTTCCAGCTTAGCCTGTCAGCGTATTTAACTATTTATTTTCAGCTTTATCCTAATCGAACGCTACTCTCTAACGCTTTCCCTTCCATTTCAATTCCAAGATAACACTGTGTTGTAATGCTTTGCGAATTTTACCTAGTTACTTTGATTTCATTTTACGTATTTATTGATGATTCCGATCGCCGATGCGATGCGGCTGTATTTTGCGTCCACTCAAACTCACTAATTTGAAATTATGTTATCCATGCACTCAACTATGTTAATTAATTCGATGTAATGTAAGATTATTTAGTTAATGAGCTTTAAGCATTCGAGTGCAAATTGATCATCAGCTGCGGCTGAACAATTGCTTTTTTCGCATTTAGCGTGCTGCGCTTTTTATCCAAAGCAATCTGTTATTCAATATTATAGATACCTATTATTTTTACATTTTTATGTCACATTTTACGCTTGGCAACGAGATGCAAATTCAAAGAATTCGAGAATCGTTTTAAGTGTCACGCACAAAATGCAAGAATAATCAAAATTCGAACATAGAAACATGCTCTGCCCATTTAAAGCAACACGTCAACTACTAGTATTATGTAATCGACCTATATGTGTATAGGTAGCCTAGTTATTAAGCATTCTGTACTAACCAATCCAATCCCCTATCAAAATGTCGATGGCAATCGTCACTAGGAGTGTGAGTCTTAGAAAGGAAAACAAAACAAAACAGCAGAGTAACTAAAATTGTTCAAACAATCGCCTTTTATTTGTGTGTAAAAATGAAATTGTTACAAGATGATTTATTAACCAAGTATAGGGATGTTCTTCATTTGTATTTCTCACTGCGAATTGTTTCAACGAATTGATCAAATTGATAGATTTATATTTATATATATTTACACCAAGATATGTTAATTTTGTATTTATGTAAAGCGGGCAACTGAAAGTTAATTGCAATGCCTTTTTGTTGCACAAATGTTTTATGAAATCTGTAGTCTAATTAACACAATTAACCTTAAGCGAGTAAACAAACATTTTTGTAAAAAAAAAAAAACAAATAAATCGAAAAGCAAATTAAAGCTATGTGAAATTTGTAACTAACACCAAGTAACGGATTATATACATCCTACATTTACAACTACAATTTAATATGTATATTAATTTATTAATTTATTTGAGAAACAGTCGAGTATTTTTCGTATAATAAATAACTTGAACTTCAAAGAGTTGAAATCCCGCTGTAAGCGACTAATCCTCCTTCCCGTGGGCCAGATGTTGTCAACATTTTGTAGTAATTACCTGGGCACGCAATCGCTCTACTGACACTCATTCCGAGAGACTCCCAGGTGGCCCAGACTTAGAGGCCGGGCCGTGAGAGGTCATTGCCTTGACTCCTGTTTTCGGTGGTTTCTTTTTTTTAGGGGTGATTCCGCCCACCCCTTAAAATGGACAGACAGGTCGGCTGGCTGCCAGGGATCAGTGATGGCAAAAGTCTAGGGGCTTGTACAGGGTACAAAATGAAATATATATATTTTCCAGCAAAAATTTTAATTAATATATAGTGAGTATTTTTTCTTGATATTTTGGCTTCTAATACAAAATAGGGAAAAATAAAAATGATTATTGTGTAGTTGTTTACTTTGTAAGTTGCAAATCCAAGGTTATCCATTATATTTGTATTATTTTGAATAAATTTATTATGTTTTTTTATCTCCCCAAAGACTTTAGTCTTTAGCCACCACTGCTGGGGATCTAGGAACGCTCTATGCTGTTTGCATAGTGGTGCCGTTGTAACCACCACTATCAAGTGACGCCATACAATTTGAATTTTCCCCGGAGCAGCAGCGGCAAATACCCCTAATGGCTGTAGCCGCTTGGCGTGCCCACAGTTCTCGTCGAGCGGCCGTGTCGTCTGAACGTCTCCTCCAGTCGTAGTCGTTTCTTTCGGGTCATAGCCATACACCAAGTTCTACTGCCAAGTTCCAAAACTAAGCAATTCAAGCCCAAAAATGCGCACTCAAGTGCTAAGTTTCTGTTTAGCAATTTTGCTAATTGTTTGTCTGTTGTAAACAAAAGACGGAATTAGATGCGGGTGCCAAGTGCTCGAGGGATCAGAGATGGGGAGTCCTCAGCAGCGGATACGCAGGATTGGCGATAGCCTGCAGATGCTAACCCGGGAAGCCAGGAGTGAAGTGGTGCGCTGTGAACGTAAGTGGGTTTAAAAACATTAGAGATTTAAATTAAAAATTTGTTTTTATCCTAAAAAATAATATAAATATTGTTTTTTACGTTTACTAGCTTCTTAAAAAGGCAATGACTCAAAAACACCTTTGTTTCATTATTATTAAACATCATTTTCTTTCGAATATGATTGATTACCCATCATAACTCACCTGGACCTTGGGTGTAACTCTGTAATAAATTCATGTATGTCGCATTATCTACTGGGCGATTTGCATAAGAGGGCGACGTCATCGCCAATTTCAACATTGGAGCTAAGAATGATTTGCTTGTTTATCTATTGGTGGCGGAGACCTTATTATGACATGTGTGGAAATGTGGAAATGGATTCAATAGAATTCGCTAGGGCTGAAAATGTTTATCGCCTGCCACAAGCATATAAACCAGGGGGAAATAGTTGTTATTGTTTTTATTGGGTGAAACTCAGAGTCTATAAATAAGTTCCTTGGGTGGTAATTGTTTAATTACGGTTAGCCGAGAATTTCTTTATGGATTTGTAAATTAGCTTGGGATAAGATAAGATTGGTGATGTTTATAAAGAGTCCTTATCTTTTACAAATAAAGATATTTTTTAATGAAGATTAGCAATGCAACTTTAATAATCGTAATTGATTTTGTATAATACATTTTTATTGTAACAATTTTATTCATAATTTTTTAAATAGCCGGGGGCTTGAAACAGTAGTTTAAAGTGCCCATGAGAAATCATTGAAATTTGTCTGGAGTAACACCCTCGAGACATTAATAGCTCCCAAGTGACGAGCCTTATGGTTAGATGGAGTTTCTCATTCAGCCCAAGAAACCAGAAAAAACTAGATGCCTGCCAGGCACGCGATTTGAAACACACACACATCGACAGGTCCTTCGAAGGCCTTTTGGCCGCTAATTAAGTTCACCTTGGACGTGAAAAAGCGGCGTGTTCTTCCAAGGTCATCGGCGATAATTGCGGCCATGGCAACTGCCCAAAAGCCGAAACAATGGGCATGGAAATAGAACAGGATTTTTTGTCGGTCTTTGAATATCAGATTAATGTTCCCGCCTGATTGAGGATACACAATAATGGAAGACATAAATCGAGCAGTTCTTTTGTTTGTTTATCAAAAGAATAAAAATAAACATGAAAGGAATATGGAATTCATTAAAGAAGGGGTTGTATTTAAGGGAATGTGAGTGTGGTTACCGAAAAATAGGGAGGGCCAAACAAGAACTTCATTTATTAATACTTCTTTTTACGACTCCCATTTATTTTTCCAAAATGCATTAGCATTTAAATATAAATGCATTAGCATAAAAAATATGTCAACTTTAATTTAATCCCACACAAATCCGCGAGAACTACGTTCTAAATATTTATTAAAAAGCCATGTCGCAGCGAACAAAAAGCAAAAATAAAACAATGATTTCCCATCCCACGCACATTGGCATCCCCCCAGCCAAAAAAAAATTGTTGTGGATAAAATAACAAAAAACAGTCAACAACACGAAAGAACCAAATCAAAACAGAGGCACAAACAAAAACATACCTGAGCAACCAGTTGCAAATGTTCGAAATCAAAACAAAACTGAAGAAGCTCGCTCTTAAGAGCCCCCCTAAACAGAAGGTAAATAAAATAAAGTGGACTAGAGCCATATAGCTCTCTATAGAGCGAATGAGAGCGAGAGAAAGAGGAAATCGGCTGGAGAATTATGGGTTGGCATATAGTCGCCTCAGTGTCTGAACAACAGTCACGAACGTCGGACGGTTTGCGAACGTCGAAAGTTTGGAACATATCGTTTCGGTTTTATACATATCTTTTTTGGATGCGTGCCCGAACGTCGCGTGGTTCAATTTCGGGTTCGGCAATTAACACAGCCATCGCTTTTTATGCAAATCAGTGATATCGAAACAGTGTAAATAACAAACATAAATGTCAAATCGAAAAAGTTGCCCCCACCCCACTACTAATGACCTTGAACTCGTCAGCTCGCCAGACGGATGTCACTTTTCCCAAACCGAAACACACACTCCCAACGATTTTAAGCCACGGATTAATTAGAATATATATGTTCGGAGAACGAGCACAAAAAGGTGTTAATTTCGGTTCGTTACGTATACGTAATGTGGCAGGAAAATAGAAATGGAAATTGAAAACCCGAACAACTGCCGTGCGCGCCAAATGTAAATTGATAGCCAAAGTGTTTGAAACACAATTGCTAAATTTGCCAGTCTACCTTCAATATATTCACCCATACACACCCACACACTTTTGGCAATTTCAAATCAATTAATCTCAATTATTCCGATCGCTCGAGTGAACAGAATCGAGGCGAAAATCAAAAGGTCTCCGTGCTTCATTAAGTTTCCCCGAAAGTTATGATCGCAATTGTTTGTTGTTCTTCAAATAAATTTCTGTGCTAAATGAAATATTCCCTGCATGGTCCATAAAAATCACATAAACCAAACAAATTTGGAGTGAAAATGATTGAAGCATTTTTCGATAAGAAGGCAAATAATTGTGTTCAAAATATGTAAATTCTTTGGTGACAGAATTCCAAGTAAAAAGTACCATTGACGCAAACATTATGAGTAATTTCTAAAACTTTAATAAAACTTAAAAAGCGACCAGATTAGCGAATAAAAACCGGAAACGGCAGCATTTGAAATATTATATTATTTTTCTTATTCATGTTTATGCGCAAATTTTATTTTCCATTAGTTAACCACGTGAAATATTCCCAAAAATGTCCATAAAAATCGCATAAGCTAAACAAATGTGGAATAAACTATTATTAGCTTTTTTTTGTGGATAAAACACCCAAGTGAATGTGTACAAAATATGTGCGATAAATGTGCTGAATAAAACAACGGAAGCCTTGTAATCTGCGGAATTTCTGTACAACGATAAAAAATAACATGCCAAAATGGAGCTGATTAAGAAGTACAAACAGGGAAAGCTAAGCTCCAGCGATATTCGCCATATAAATAGTACGTTGTTCATAAAATTGTTAAAACATTTATATATATTTATGGTTTTTACTTATAACTAAGGGCAGACCTTGCTACTTAAAATATATTTTAGTGAAGGCCTTGACAGGGCGGAGGAAGGTGAACCTAAATTTAAAATGAAAAACATTAAAAACATTTAAAAATTCGAATTTCGAACTGTGAAAGCCAATTGGTTAAATTTGAGGTGAACTGTCTGCTGCTATTGACAGAAAATGTTCAAGTCAATTAAAACCATTTCGAGGTATTTTGTTTTTGTCCATCAGTCATGGAGACTGATCTTTGGGGGCGCGTCTTTCAGCATCAATAAACAGTTTGACTATATGTATTCGAGTGTTTTGAAAATTTGCAGAGACGAGTCCTATCCAATAAATTATTCGATATGCGTGTCAGTGGGACAACTAATCAATTTTTGTATATTTTTACTTGTTTGTAAAGTCTTTTATTTTTTTTCAATTAATCAGACTAAATTTTAAGCTACTGTAAAAACAAGATCTGCCATAATTTTCAACTTCCATCTAAATGTGCCAAATTTATAACTATTTTTATAGCGTCAATCGACTCATTAAAGGTGCCAAAGCCTTTAGGCAAATGTGCTAATATTAACTGTTTACAAACATTTTCACACATCTCTTGCTGTTCCAACATTTATATATATATGTATTCCATTTGATGCAGCTCTCATCTGTCGATAAGTGGAGGAAAGTTTGTTTGAGTGGGCGTAGTTCCTAGTACGTATACGCCATGTGGTTCCTGTTAATGGCATTAACGAATTGGCCAAAGTGCCAAGCTTCCGGGAGCCGTCGCAAATGTAAACAGGCACTTAATCACTGGGGATATGGAAATTGTTAACTGTTTGAATTGTAGACTTCCCAAGGGATTATTGAAATAAGTACATAATAAAATAACAAATTAAGAATATAGTTTGCTAGGCATATATGTATATATTCTCTGGGCCCATTTTTCCGTAGTTTACATCTGTCTATTCACAAGCCGATTAGTAATATTTATTTATAGTTTTCGCAGTGAAGCTTCGCCTCTTTTGGGCCACATTCAGTAACGAAACCTGCCCAAAAGCGGTTGCTGAACATTATTTACCCAAGTTTCGGAGATGAGAGCGCAAAGGGGGAATCATGATGGAAATGATGTCATTCCGTTGGTGCCACTTTGCGGCGGATCATGCAACGCGCAGTAAATCGCCTCGAAAATATATCTATAGATGAGTCGGTGGCCGGCCAAAAAGCAGAAAAACATTCCGCTTAATGCGTTCAAAGCACTTGGGGCATGAAATCTGCGGTACGATCTATTCTCTCTCTCTTTCTATAGATGGGGCGAACTTGTAAAATACAGCTGTCCATTATGGACCATAAAATGGAATGGTAATATAACATTTTCCTCCGCTTTTGACATGTTCCGCTCTGGGACTTTTATTATGCACACACCGAGCATAGTCGTATATTTATCCACGAATCTGTTTGTTGACTCTGCCAGTCGTATTGTTTTCTCTTTATTTCGAACAATATGCGGGAATATTTGCATCAATTGAAATGAATTTTATTGGGAGGCAGACACGGTATCGACGTCATCTGAAAATGTTTCGCCCTGACTCGTTAACCGAGCTCTATAACATTTGGCATGATATCATACCTCCGATATAAACTCACACAGAAACGTTAATATACGAAGACCAGTTCACAGTTAGCTGTTTTTTACACAAAACAAACCAAATCAACGAACATAACTAGAAAGCAATAAATTATCGACTGCCTAACCTTCGAGCACTTGTGTTTTCCATTCTCATAATTTCGTAATCCATTGTTCGCAACAGTGCGTTTACTTGATCTATGGCTCCTGGATCCAGAAGATCCATAAATAGTTGATTTTCCATATACAGCCGAGTCTATTTGCGAGCCATTAATTTCAAATTCAAATTTGTCAGCGGTGCGTTTGATACAGCAACATGTTCGTAATGCTTAAATATGCCTGGGGTTAATGGTGTTATTGTATTGTTCAAGATCACAGTTACAAAACCGATTTTATAGATTCATTTTAGTGATTTAATTAAGTAGATTTTTCTCCACTTTCATAATTTAACATTAAAATACAGAATTTCAGTAAAATAACTACCTTTTAGTTATGTGTTTATTGTTTGTCATTAAAAGTTAAAAAAAAATCAATTTAAATATGTGCATCATCCTTCAAGGTCCAGTAGTTGTTAAATAAAATGTCTGTATAATTTTTAATTTAATAATGTGATTTCTCTTCCCCTAAACTTAGATACCGTAATATGTCTGATGGTCCTCGTGGCAATATTCTCGATTCTTTGGAGTGTTTCACTGCACATGATATCGGGGGATCTGAATGAGGGATTAGTTAGTGACAAAATAGTATTTCAAGAGCGCAATATGGATCAACTGACTAACCACAGCAAGATGATCCTCAATGAGGACCTCATCAAAGCCACCCAAAACTCCTATGGCCGAAAGTATTCCGTACAGGATGATAAGGATATTAAGCCCGATTCGCTACAAAGCGAGAGCCGTAAGTTATTTTTTAGTTTTAAATATTCTTTTTAATAATTTAAAATTTTTCTTTTAAGAAAACACAAAGCCAGTGTATAAATTAGATCATATCTATGATTCCATTGAGAACCGACCTAAGTTAGAGCATCGCAGAGCTGAAATGGAGGAGATAAAAGTCACAAGCACGACTGCTGCTCCACCAAAAATTACGTTCAATGCTGAGGCAGATCGTCACTTTTTGAGCACAAGTAAGACTACATTTTTATAAAATTATTTTTCATTGTTAATGTATTTTTATATTTTATATTTTTTTTCAGTGTCCATTGATACTATTGCCACCATTTGGGATCAAGGCTTTGGAGCTCAGTTTGTCTATGCCTTTCCCCTCATATCAGAGATCGTTGCCGTCATCTGGACAGCCATGTGTCTGATCTTCCAGACGGGCAGCAAAAAGAACTCGTGAGTAAATACTTATTATAAAATAATATTATGATAATAATAATCGTTCCTTTTCAGAGTCCTGCCAAAACCCTGGCGCATTGTGCTGCCCTCGATCATCATTTTCTCGGTGATGAGTTTGGGCAGCGTGATCTACACGATCCTAACGAATGGTTATCTCAAGCATTTGTGCAGCCAACTGAGGGACAAACTCACGGATCCCACTGCTATCAGTTGTGGCGATGCCATCGCCCTTCTGCGTCCCACTGTCCATGATCACAGCGTATCCCACGATGCTTACTTGGAGCTCTTCCGCTGCAGCTACGTCATTGGAATGGTGCTGTGGATCGTGGCTCTGTTGGTAATGGTGCTGCGTTTCATCTTCGCCGTGGATTTCCAGCTGGTGGACATTGACGAGATGTTCGATAACGAACGGTACGGATCACCCCGGGTGCAAATACAACCAGTTTACACGGAGGTAGTGCAGCAGAGCAGTCCGCAGCACCAGGGGCAGATGCGTCCCCGATCGGAGGATGACTATCAGAGTGCCAGGTCGCGTTTGAGCGATCTTGCAGTGCCGCTTCTGGAGGGGCAGGGTCAGTCGCAGATTCCGCCAACTAACTTGGCCTAATCCCAAGGATCCGACTGCAACGACAGGTGGTTCAGCAATCTCAGGTTTATTTTTATACGATGTGTTAGTGTTTAGTAGATCGGATCGAAGCCTAAGGAATATTATATGAACTAACCGCGATTTAGCATAAGTTTTAAATCGATATTTAATTGATATTTTTCACTGTCTTAGTTTAGGGAACTCGTGCCTCGATATCTTATTATGTGAACAATGTGGCTTTATAAGGAAATATATGAGAATCAGAATTGTGGAATTTATGCAATTTATTCATTGCATACTTTTGGGATAAGAAATTTATTCAAAATTTAAATAAAATAAGCCACATTTTCCAGTCCCTTTGAATAATTTTAATAACCCCTGATAATTTTAATCCAAAAGTTTTATTTTAAAAAGGCAATAGTCTAACCATTGACAAGAGCGAAAACAAGTGCGAATAAAATACAAATATTGTGTATACGAAATGAGAAACCCTTCAAGTGCCAGCTTAAAGCAGTTTCATGGTGATGGTCTTGGTCTCCAGATAGTTGTCCAGTCCATCCTTGCCCAGTTCCCTGCCAATTCCCGAGAGCTTGTAGCCACCGAAAGGAGTGGAGGGCAGGACGGCGTCATAGCAGTTGATCCACACGGAACCGGCATCCACATTGTTGGCAAACTTCAGGGCCTTGTTAATGTCATTGGTAATAACGCCGGCGGCCAGGCCATATTGCACATTGTTGGCCCGGTCAATCATCTCTTCAAGAGTGCTAAACTTGAAGATGGACTGCACAGGTCCAAAGATCTCCTCCTGGGCAATGCGCATGTTGTCCTTGACATCCGAGAAGACGGTGGGCTCGACGAAGAAACCCACATTGCCGATCCTCTTGCCGCCCGTCTGCAGCTTGGCTCCCTCCTTCTGGCCACTCTCGATGTAGCCCAGGACCTTGGTCAGCATCTCCTGGTCGATCTGGGGACCCTGCTGCACATCCTTCTCGAAGGGATTGCCCACCTTGCGGGCCTTGGCCTTGGCCGCCGCCTTGGCCACGAACTCATCGTAGATCTTCTCGTGGACGTAGGTGCGACTGCCGGCACAGCAACTCTGGCCGTGATTCGAGAACAGGGCCTCGTGGGTGGTCTCCACAGCAAAGTCAACTAAAAATCAAAATTTTATATTAAATTCCTAGAGAAGAAGCTATCTATAACTCACTATCGGCATCATCGAAGACCACCACGGGACTCTTCCCGCCCAACTCCAGGGAAACCCGCTTCAAATTCGACTTGGCCGCCGCCTGCATCACAATCCTGCCAATGTCCACGGATCCAGTAAATGCCACCTTGGCAATATCGGGATGCTCGCTGATGGCAGCTCCTGCAGTCGGTCCAAATCCATTCACCACATTGATCACTCCAGCGGGGAAGCCCGCCTCCTTGGCCAAGGCAGCCATGTGGAGGGCAGTCAGAGGCGTCTGCTCCGCGGGCTTCATGATGATGGTGCATCCAGTGGCCAAAGCGGGTCCCCATTTCCAGGCCAGCATCAGCAGTGGGTAGTTCCAGGGGATGATTTGACCCACCACGCCCACCGGCTCCTTCCTGGTCATCGAGGTGAAGCCTCCGGCGGGAATGGTGTCACCAAAGAACTTGTCGGTCCAGCCGGCATAGTACTGCAGTGTCAATGCGGAGTAGGTCACATCGAAGAGGGCCTCGGCATAGGGTTTGCCATTGTCCTGGGACTCCAGGCTGGCCAGGAAGGCCTTGTCACGATCCATCAAAGCACAGAGTCTATATAGGATTAATATTAGATTTTTTTAAAGGGTTTCGTAGAGCTAAACTCACTTGTTCATCAGATTGGTGCGCTGCAAAGGACTCAACTTGCGCCACTCCGAGTCGCGATGGAAGGCCTTCTTGGCCGCAATAACAGCCAGGTCTATATCAGCCTGTAGAAATAATAAAATATATATTATTATTATTATTAAACCCAACAATCTTCCTCTAGAACACTGCACCCACCTTATCTCCCTCGGAGACTTTAATAATCTCCTTGGACGTGGCCGGATTGAAAGTGGCAAAGGTCTTGCCAGACACCGAATCAACGAACTCATTGTTGATGAAGAGCTATAAATAAATCAGAGAATAAATACATTATAATTAAAAAGTTAATATAGTAAACACCTGACAAAAATTGGGTTCGCAATGGGAAAAGCTATGATCAAATCTCATCCCTTTTTCCAAACCAATTTTTTGGTGTGCCAGTAATTTGTGCAATTTGTTCATTATTATTAGACCAGTTTGTCTGCGATTACTTATCCGCTCAAACAAGTTATCATCCCACTCGATTGGCCCATTTCAATTTGCCGGGGACACGCGACAATGTAAACAATGTAAAGCGGAGTTCTAGTCACGATTTCAAATTGTCGAGTTTATGAAAAAAAAACAGTTGACAGCTAACTAAAGTCGTTTGGGGCTGGTTTCATTCAAAACTATAATGGGTCATTGTGCGATAAGCAGTTGTCAGCAGGCAGTGCTTAAACTTTCAAGATAAAGTACTTACTTAAATTAGTCAATAATAAAGAACGAGAATTAGTGGCAGTTAAAGAGAATTAGGCTGTATCAATTAAGGTTTATTAACTTTTTCCATCAAAACTAACTAACTAACTTAGCTCACTTAAAAATAGCTATATTCACTATTTTCTCTATACTTCTAAAATTGAAAACAAAAGGACTAAAAAAGGTATCTTAATCAGTATGCCATGAAGTATAACATCTCTTGAAAAATTTAATTTCGCCACTGAAAAATCTCATCACACTATTAGACTCAAAGTCTAGTTCATGTTGGTCCCCCATAAAAGTTTACCTTATCAGCTTATAAGACCTCATAATTATTATGGCTTTACTAGTACTGGATCTGTTTTTGTGCTGATAAGAGCTTGAACACCCTGTATTAAAGAACAAACAAATTGCTGTGTTTTTCGGACAAAACATATTCGAATGTATAAGGAGGCCAGCAGCCAAGAAAAGAAAAAAACGAATGGCAAATATTTGTAAATTGCGACACAAACAAGTTTGAAGTGGGCTGATTTTAAATTGACATTGGCTGGTATTAAATAAATAATTCTCTTTTTAACTGTACTGAATATATCTATCTGCATTTATTGTAGGTTCATCTAAGTGCCTAGTATATTTAAAATGCAGCTGGCAACACAATATTTATACTCACTTTTGTGTACTTGGGCTTGGCGTTGGGATCGGCCATATTGAGCAATATATGGGAGGTATTTACTTTTAAGAACTGGAATAGAGACCGGCTGTCTGAGAGTCGTCGCGAAACTGAAATTGAAATGCTGCCAGATGTCCGTTTATATAGTGCCCGATAACTGGCTATCAGCGATTTGTTTTTGCACTGCCGTTCATCACCTTTTTGCTTTGCTTGTGGTCGGTCCTCTGAATTATCTCTGCTTTATGCCGGCCGGCAGACATGTAAACATTTTTATATGCACCCTGCACTTGAATGAAACCGTCCATTAATTTTGTAAGTTACTTGTTTTAGAAAACTAGGTTTTTTAAAATTCTATAATATATTATTTTACACTGATTGTTACTTGAAATATTTTTAATCTTATCATGTTTTAAAATTCTTTTAAAATTCTCAACTTTTTGTAGAGCATCTAACGTTGATTAAACTTAGTCTGCGAGTAAATTTAGGCATCCTTTTGGTGATTGCTTTATCGCAAAATTCTTTTTGTGCATTGTTTCGTAAATTTTGGAAGTGGGTTGTGTCTTGGATATGTAGAAAAACACGGTCTTATACGGTTCATGTCTCAGCTTTTGTCTTATACCACTAGAGTGTTCGAGTTTTGCAGCTTTAAATTAATGCATTAATTTAAATTATTTAATATAAATTAATTGAAGCTTGATAAATTTGGGGGAAACACAAAAATATTGACGTTTTTCTTTTATTTAAAGTAAATAACCTGACTTGTTTTTCCTAAATTATAAATTTTCGGTTTATAGTTCACTTTTACGATGTTTTCTTTTCAAAAACTCGTAGTTTGGATCAGTGGTTTTCCGGCATAATTTTTGAGTGGAAAACTTTCGTACTGGTAGGTGCGTTGAACCATCCCGTGATCCAGGAATTTCAGTTTGCTCAGCGACTGTGCAATGTAATTGCTGAAACAGATCGACGGCTAAGTATAGATGGTTAAATATTGTAACAGACCCACCTGTAGTACTGATAGTCGTAGCGCAGGTAACTGGAGAAGGGCTGCAGTTCCAAACCATCTGGGCAAATCGGATTGCCATGGAGGCTCAGATATTGCAGGTTCGGAAAGAACCGTCTGATCAGCCGCATTGTCGTTGGCAGGTCACTGAACTGGAATCGAGCATAATAATTTGATAAGAAATTACAGAATTTGGTAAATATTTGAATATTAAATGATCTACCTCATTTTTGTTCAGCATTAGTATTTCCAATTGGGGCAGTGGGCGTGTCAAAGTTCTCAGATGAGCCTCATGCATTCTATTGCTGTCCAGGACCAAATGACGCAGTTGCTCAAATTCCGCCAGCCAAGACAAATCCTTCAGGCAGTTGTGGCTGAGATCCAAGTGCTCTACATGATCAGCATGGATCTTAATTAATTCCTCCGGCAGCGTTCTTAAATTCTGCTGCACCAAAATAAGCTAAACGAGTAGACGAAAATAATGACATACGATTTGTAATCTCGGCCAGATAAGCCTCATTTGCCCATACCTGACTGTCGTTGTTTTCTGGCGTTTGCATTGCCCTGAGATATATCGTATATGTGGTTAACGAGAGCGGATACCTCACCGGCGATCTTCTCGTGAGCAACTGAAGTGAGTGCTCGATTGTGCTGCAGTCGTTAGCCGAATGCTTTTGTCTTTTAATTTTTTACATACCCTAGCAGAGTGTTTTTGAAGGGGATATGCAATTATAGGTGCATAGGATTAATTTTCGTTGTTTAATACATTTTATAATATAATTTAAAACCACGTAAAAAAAGTTGTTATATATATTTTGAAGATTTATTAATATATTTAATTTATTTGATAAGAAAAACACTTATATGATAATATTGATTTATTTGGCCTTTTAAACTAGACTACACCCAAAAAAAAGTAGTCATCAATATGCCCCTATTTAGGTGTCAATGTGACACTATTGAGTGGAAAAAAATCTTTGATCCGAACGTCATTAAATTGACCCTATTCTGGTGTCACTTTAATACTTTCGAAAATATTAATTTGACCCTTTTTGGTGTCAAAGAGCCACTAGCCGGTGTCATTTTCTTAGTATTAAATAAAATTTGACATTTGCTTGAAAGCTCCTGTAACCAATCTGCCATGGCAAAAATTAATATGGGCATGGCTCAGGGGCCAAGGCGCTAGGTTCTGATATTATTTTGTGCTCGGGGGAACGAGGTTCGAATCCCGCTCGCAACACCTTTTTTTTTTTTTTTTATCAGTAATCTAACACAACTTAACATTTTTGTTCTTAAAATGATATATTTGCATATCAAAACTTTTTACCTACTCTGATTTATCTGGGTTTCGAACCGGGGACCTCTCGCATCAGAGGCAGACGCCTTACCAACTGGACCATCGAACCATTTTGCGCGCGAGCGAACACTTGACAAGTATAAACGAAATCGATACTAGAGTAAAACATCGCCGAACTTCGAACTTCGAAAATCAAAAATGATAATTTTTGGGATCGATGTGAACCTAGTTTTATCAAAATGACACTATTTAGTATCAAATACGATTTTTCTGAAAACGCGGTGTACTTTTGACACTCATTTGGGAGCAAATTGACCCCAAAAATTTGATCCTAGGGGCAGTGTCATTTTAACCCACAGTTATTAAATTGACACTCAGGATTTTTTTTTTGGGTGTAGGGGCAATTTATTGTTGCATTTTTCACCGATTAAAGTTTTAAATCAGACAAAATTTATGGGGTATTGTAAAGTTGAAACACTAGACTCCAGTACCTAGATAGTAGGTTAAACCTACTCCATGTGCTCTTTGTTTGCGTTTAATATTGTTTGGCTTCTGCGAAGCTTTTTTTTCACGTCTGACGTTTTTTCTATCATGGCCTGAACTTGTTCAAGGCGAAAGAAGAAGAAAGACGCTAGTGATAAGCTATCAGCTTAAATGACATGTAGATGGCGCCAGCGGGCGACTATGATCGCACATCGAGTATACGCCAAGTGGGCTCTGAAACGACACACAGCGCAGTTAGTAACGGCCATTTAGGGGCTAGTCCTTCGACTGGCTTTAAACCTCTTCAAATCGGAACTGGTCAAGTGCAAGTCGTGCGATAAGTGCTCCACAATGGCAAAGTGCTGGTAAATACATTTTTAATTGCCAGCACGCCAGTTGGGCAGCAAACAGAGATGACGGCCCACTAAAGAGTCGAAATGAAAAGGCAAATTGGAAAGACCAAAGCGGCCTGACAAGCGAATTTGTTAGTGGCCTGGGCAGGCCACAATGCGATTGACTGCAAATGGCTAACAAATTGAACTGGAGGCTGGGCAAACTAGTGCCAAACAAAAGGAGATGACAGCGTAAATAAACAAAGCGCTGGATACAAATTGCGGCTCACAGCATTTAGCCGGGCACTTAGTTCAATGAAACCGAATAATACGCACGCACCGGCAGATACTTTTGCGTATTTTTCAGATACGCGCCGGTAAAAGTAATCAACTTCGCTGACAGATGTTGCAGATCCCCTGAATGGGAGAAATCCCTTTACCTTTTATGTTACCCTCTAATCATTTGACCGCTGTCAGTGACAAAATATATTTGCCACTACGCTTTGTTCGTTAACCATGTTATTATTTCCCTTGCTTACACTCTACTTTTGGCCGGTAATAAGCGTGTGTGTGACTCTATATATAGGCCTTTGATTGCTGTGCGTCTCAATGGGCATTATAATTCAATGTCAATATTTGACCACATGCTCAAAACAATTGTTCCATGGCAAGTAGGCTGAAATTCGTTTGGGATTTACCGCTGAAGGGCAAAGAAAATCCACACGAAAGAGGAGACTTTACAACATTCTGACATCCTTCGTTTAAATTTATAAATTTTCTTAATGTTATAAAAAATTGTTTTCTTTACTTCTATACTCAAGAAAATAATTTTTTAAAATTCTTTTATCCTTGATTTATTTCTGTAGGTTCCAATATGAACTTTTATTTATTTTATTAAATCCTGTCTAATTAATGTTGCTTTTCCAGTTACAGAAACCATCCCAGGAATTCCTTAGACCATAAAAACTCTTAGTAAAACCTGTAGTTAAATTGTATTTTTACCAGCCACTTTGATGACTAATGCGCAGCACTTAAATTTATATATATAAGCAGACTAGGGAAATATTCCACTCATCCCGAAATCCTATTCGTTTCCTTTGCTCCGACGACCGGCCTAAATTGTTGGCCAGGACTGGTATTAGCCTCATTAACACTGCCATAGGAACCTAGTCACGGCAACCATCACCCAAGCCACCATCGTAAATAAAAAAGTACTCGACTTGCTCCAATTTTAATTACTTTCCACAGGTTGTAAGTGAGTTACATAAAACCGGAGGCGATGATGATGGGCTGGGATAAGGGCCTCCCTCGATAATTGTGCTAAAATCGAATGACCTTGATGGGGCGGAATGGCAAGCGGTGCAAAATCGCTCTGGTTGTCAGTCGTCTTCGCCTCTAATTAACGAGATAATCGACGGACGCCGATCGCTGTAATCATCATCATTATGCTCCTCCGGGCTGGCTATTAAGTCACTTAGCCGAACGATTTGTCAACGCACTTAAAAGCGAGGGGAACGCGGGGGAAATAGCACCACATTCATTCGCCATTTATCATAATTTACGGAGTGTGGGCTGAAGACCCAGTTAAATATATATAACATCTACTTGCGATCTTATTTTTCTTTTTTAATAAACTTTTTGGAGCATGATTTGCATGTTTCGTTTGCATTGCCTTTTTATTTTCGGTGTTTTTTTGTGGTAAAAGTAAAAATACACTTGCTTTCGAGTGTAATAAAAATTATTTAATTTGGTAGTCGAGCATTTCTCGGAAATCAGTAAATCATTTTATGTGGAAGTCAAAATTATAACAGCTTGGGTTAATTTGAGGTTTGGGGTGAGAAAGAAAGAGGTATTTTGATGTTAATGGATGTAAATTTTGTATTTACATTAATTTGGAAAATTTTGAAATATATTCAACAGCATTTGTAGGTATTTCTTATATTTTAAAAATAAAATTGCCACTTCTAAGTTGGGTATCCATATCATTATGTCCACTTAAACCACAAGGTTCGCAGCTCTTTTACTCCGTATTTAAAAGCATATGACCTACACATTCTCCTGCGCTGGAATGCCAACTAATCGACTTGTGGGTTCACATCTCAATGACAAAGCCCCAAAGCTTCTGCCCCTTCGTGTGCTTCTTCTTTGGCTTTTGCTGTTCGTGGCACTTGAGTGCAACAAGTGGCAAGTCAAGTGGCGCATCCCCGGTCGCTCCGTCTATTTTTAAGCTGCTCCAATGGAAATTCCCCCCAAAGAGGGACGCAACTCCCAGGCAATGTCAATGGAACCGATGCGAAGGGCACCAAAAGAAGACAAAGCCAATGCCAAGAGGAGAAGGGCAGGGGCTCGATCGGATATCGGCGCAAATCAATAACTCGTGAATGGATGTGCTACTGCACTGTTGACCTGATTTTCACCAAGTCTCGAACCGTCGATGGCACAATCTGCGGCAGGCTCCTTTAGGTCTTTCTCACTCTTTCTCCTCGTCAGGGATGGAAATATTTTATACACACAAAGAAATATAAAATAGAATAATAAATAGACGTGTTCTTGCATTTAGAAATAATTAGGATTCGTTTCTTATTACTTGTTTAGCTTATTTCGATGGACTCTAAATATTTGTAGTTTGTTTGAACAAATAATGGTTCTGACACGTTTAAAAAAAGTTTCCCGAAAATAATAAGAAATATAAGATTTTAATATTTAAATTAGACTTAATTAAGAACTTATTCAACCTAGTTAACCTTAACTTTTTCCAAGATACTGATATTTTAAAAAATAAATCTTATATTGTGTAGTTCTTTTAAACTATTTTTAAAATGTTAAAATAGGTGGTATAATATTTATTGTTCCAGTTCCGAGTGGCTCTGCATCCCTGCTATCTTTTTAATGAATCGAACCCTTCTTTCCGCTGTCAGAGGCTGACTCGTTGGGCTTCTTCATCGGTGGCCAAGTGGACCAATTTCCAATCGATTCGATCGGTGACGTAAAGCCCCAAAACCATGTTGCCATTACGTACGCCCCTCAGCTTCTTGTGCCACCTTATAGGTATTTGGGTATATTTATTCCGATGGCCATAAGCTACATGTGTCCGTACAGCCACTCGACTTTTTTCCACCTGGCTGCGTCGAGATGCGTCGGCTGCAATTACGATTAATGATTTCTGTGTGTGGACAGCAAGTGGACAAGTGTCTCGACTCGGATTCAGTTGACTCGGTTACTGCGGCAATGTTTACTTTCAATCCATCGCTGTGTGCAGCAAATCCAATTAAACGCCGCTCGCTATTCACTTTATTTGGGTAGCTGCTGTTTTGTTTTTATTACTTATTGTTTCGATTTCGTTTTTGACGTTTAATGTTTGGCTTCAATTTGAAAATTGATTTTGATTTTGTTACGATTGTTTCGTAATTGTTGTCGTAGGTGTTGAAAGTGTCCGCCGTCAACGGTTGACAGTTGGGGGAAATTATGGACTGGCCTTGAAAAGCCCTTCGTTATTGTGTTATTTTTG